AGACAAATGAAAAATATAAGTGCATAAATTCATATATATAATAATGAGATTTTAAATTTATTTTTTAATAAGTACCAAAATATTTACTATTGAGTACTATTTCAATTGTTTTAGTTACTAAAATTTATGTTCAATTTGTTTAAATAAATTGAGTCCATTTGAAGTACACATTAAAACATTAAATGAATATAAATTTCTCTCTCTCTCTCTCTCTCTCTCTCTCTCTCTCTCTCTCTCTCTTTCTCTATTATACCATAAGAATATTAAACAATAATTGTAATAAAATGTTTGCAAATGTAATCATAAATTGCTAATAAAGTTGACATGAAGTGCGATAAAAACTTTTATTATAAACAGATATACTGTATAAGGAATGGTTGAAAATGCAAAACACTTCACTACTGTATATGGAAAGCATTAGAGATTCACAATTTATTTCTCACACATTTATATTCATTCCCTTTCACTATTTATTTGCATATATTTTGAGAACCAATTTATTTAAAAAAAACTTCTCTTATTTTTACTAAATAGACTGTCACTCACTATATGTTATGCTATACCAACATATTTAGCATAAAGTTTGAGACACATCACACATATACTCATGTTTGATAAAATGTTTTATAACCACAACAGGAATATCAATAGTGTATCGATTGTTTGTATAAACACAGAAATTATAACATTATATATAATACTATAACATATTATCTGATTATATATGTATAAGAAAAACCTATTTCATTGTATAGCCGACTCTATTTAAATAATAGTATCTTTGCGTTGAATTTAGTGATAATATGTGAGAAATAAAGAGATAAAGAAATTGTGTAAAAAAGGCATTATTTTATTGATTGAAAACTAACGGGAATTTTGTTAAATGCTTTTGTGTGACATGTTTTCCAGTGAGCCTTTAATTCATACAAAAAAACTGTTAACTTAGAAAACACACCAAAATCTATCAGTACTGTAGAATTGAAAGCACTGGTAGTATAGACAGTGAGTGCCACTGACACCACTGTCTGTTTGAAAGGGCTTTACTTTGAATATTTTTATTTTATTTTATTTTATTTTATTTTATTTTATTAGACAAAATTTATATTTTTATATTTAGTTTTGGCCCAACAGAAAAAAATAATAATAAAAAACAGAATATTTTGAATCTTATAATAGAATTTTTATGAAATGATAGATATTATCGTTTATTATCAAATCAGACTATCATTGCCGACAAAAACTCACACAAAAATCAGACATTTTTTTGTTTTGTTTTTGAAAATAAATTTTACATATTTTTCATATAAAATAAACCAAAATATCATAACTAACTTATTTTGAAATTATTAATATTATTATTATTGTACGTGTCTGATATTATCTATGCAATTGTCATTTAAACATAAAATATATATTCATATTTCATATAACTTATATACTGTATATATATATATATACAATATATACAGGTATATCAGTTTATGGTATATCGTATATACTGTAGTATCAAAATTTTGTTGTTATCTCTAAACTATTTTGTGTCATATTTAATGTCATTTCTAGCGTTTTTATTTAATAGAGATTACTGTCACTACAATATATCATATATACTTCATGTATGCATCAAATGCTTTTAAAAAACAATTCAATTACATTACTAAGAGTAGAGACACTATTTGTACATTATATTTATGGTATAAATTGTATTGATATTATTACATACAAACTCACCTACTATTCAATACATTATAGTGAAAGCAAACAAAGCCTCAAACTATGGGTTACTATGGGTTAGTCTATCGCAACACAAAAAAAACTGCTATCAATGGATAGTAAAAGAAAAAATATTGACAATAGCATCGCTTTGTAAAAGGGTTATTCATTAATCTCGCGCATGGGGTTTTTGCTATAACTCTTAAACGGAGTGAGATATATTAATTTTGTAAAAAGTGTATTAAAATATGATTTACGCGTAATATTATAAAATATAAAATTTTTAATTTTGATAACGTGATCATATTTATGCTGGGCTGTTTGTAAACCACTATGTCACAACCTAACCTATAAATGATAGAATAAAATTTCAATAGCAATTTTGTAGAGCCTGACTTGGAAAATTATTGGAAGAAAATTTTTTTTTAAATTGGTCGAAAAATAAATTTTTTATGGCTTTTCAAACTTATGAAGAAACACATTATATAAAATAGTCAAAAATAAAATGACGTTATATGGATAGTATACACTTATAAGATAAAGATTTTAATACTATTACTATTCTAAAAACTAAATTTTTTTATGTCAAATATTTTTTTAGATATTAATATTACAATAAAAACATAGCATTATAATTTGATAATGTAATTTAATTTTAAATTTAATTATCTAAAAAAATATTAGACATAAAAAAATTTAGTTTTTCAAATATGTAATAGTATTAAAATCTTTATCTTATAAGTGTATACTATTTATAAATAACGTCATTTTATTTTTGATATTTTATATAATGTGTTTTTTCACAAGTTTGAAAAGCCATAAAAAATTTATTTTTCGACCAATTTAAAAAAAATTTTCTTCCCATAATTTCCAAGTCATTTAAAAAATTGCTATTGAAATTTTATTCTATCATTTATAGGTTAGGTTGTGACATAGTGGTTTACAAACAGCCCAGCATAAATATGATCACGTATCAAAATTAAAAATTTTATATTTTATAATATTACGCGTAAATCATATTTTAATACACTTTTTACAAAATTAATATATCTCACTCCGCTTAAGAGTTATAGCAAAAACCCCATGCGCGAGATTAATGAATAACCCTTTTATATTATAAATATATTTTGATAAATAAATTGAGACTCTTTTTTGTGAAATTAATTTTCTCTTTATTTTATTATATAATTTTGTTAAATAATTATATATATTTAATAAACTTAAAAACAAAAACAATTTATATTTTATGATATAATAAACACATTTATTATAATTAATATATCAATAATAATTTATGTATAATATAGTACAGTATAATAAACTCATTTGCATAGAAAAAACTGAAAATACATTTATTATAATTAAATAAATTGTTATAATAATAAAAACAATTGTGTTTTTGTTGGCCCATTTTGTTGATAGTTAGGTATTTAATTATAAAATTTATGTAATTATAAAGATTTATTGTTGTTGTTATGCTTACTATTGATGATTATATACAATATTAAATGATTTAAAACATTTTAGATGTTTTAAAAATTTTCAATATTTAAATACATCAGAAATATAATCAATGATTTAAATATTTAATAGTAAAATGTGTTTTTATATCAGTTATAACTTATTAATATATAAAATTATTATATTTTTRTAATTATTTGAATTGAAATGTCATTAATTTCAAATTGAATATAATATCAAAAGCTTATTGTGTTTATTATTATTAAATATTAATCGATGACTGCAAATGAGCGGTTCATTTGTTTTGTTATTAATATTTCTTTATATTATTATCATTATTATTATAGTCATTATAAAAAACGTAAGCATTAGTATTACAGTATTTTATTTAATTTGAAAATTATTATAATTATTACAGAATATACAGTACAGTCATATTATATACTCTATATTTATAATAATAGATTATAAGCTCTTTTGTGGCACACATGTAATAAAGTGCTGTCATGTTTTTTATAGCATAAGTTTTATATGCATTTTGATCGCATATTTTACCATAAACTGTATATACCTTAGCACTGGGATGTGTGATTTGATGTATATGTCCAATACAGTGTACTGTATACAGTATATTGATTATTGCGTTAATTTTTATAGAAAATTTTTAGCCAGTGTTTTGAATATGTCTGGTGTAGTCACACACAAACACATCGTATAAATTGTATAAACTGTATATAGATTTACAGAATATTCTGTATACATATAATTTATGTATATATATATAAATGCACATTATACTGTATGTATAATATACATTATAAATTGATATATATTGCTCTCTCATCTCACGCACGTCTCACACAATTTATTGTAACATAACTTACATTAATTGTATTGTGTTTTTACTACTCATTTGGAGAGTCAAACAAATTCAAATTAATTCAACTATTTTTTGCTGTTTCACTCAGTCCTAGAGTGGCTTTTTTGTTATTTAATTAAAGTCATGTGTAATAAAAACAGTAGAATTTAGAGGAGGAGGAGGAGGAGAGTGCCAAAGCTATAGATATAAATGGAGTTAATTAATGAAAAATAAATCCCATAAATAATAACATAAAAGTTTTAAAAGTTATCTTTAATTTATTTAATACAATACATGACATTATAAATATAATTATAATGATTGTTATTTTTTGGTTTTTGCTCTTTTATTTAGCTTTGGTATCATATATACTGTAAATCCAATCGAGTCGTCAATTATTGGCTTAATATTTGCCGTTTCCTTAACGTATGAATAATTAATTTTAGTTTAGTTTGCTTTGAGTAGTATTCCGGTGCTCTCCTTGTGTTCTGTATGTCTCTCCGGAGAAGCTGTCCGTCCAATAGGAAAGTGTGAGAGAGAAAGATGTTGAAGAAAAGTCTTATTATTTATCTATTTAGAGATTAGAGATGATATATGAGTGACAAACTTCTTGTGGTTATTCGTATCAAATGTCTTTTTCTGTCCTTTTTTACAAAGAGTTATTGTTTTGTGATTCAAAACACGCAAACATTTGAATTGCAATTATTATTATGGGATAAAAGTTTGCTTTTATTTTTTGTTGCATTCAATTGATGCTCGGATTCATCATCACTGATGATAGAAAACAAATTGATGACAAAACCTGTTGCCATTAAGAAACTAAAGTTTTTTCAGGTTTAATATATATATGTTGTCGGATATTATTAACACAACTTTTATTTATATATACAGTATTATTACAAGTATTATTATTATTATTATTATTATTAGATATTAAGAGAAAAAGTCTTATTGTTTGACTAAAATTAATTAAAGTCTTATTCATATTTAATTCAATGGACGAGATATATGATTGTAGAGATTATTGTGAACACAAAATACACTTTACGTGAATCAGCGCTAAGACTTGTGAGCTCTTCATTAACTGTAAATATAAATAATTAAATATATTGTATGAAAAAGTAGTGAAACATAACAAACAATACAATAATGCAATACAATATAATACTACAATAATTATATTATACAAAACATTGCATTTGGATTTTGTTGTAATTTACTTCAATAAATAATTATATAACATATAAAATACAGATATTTCTCTTTATATTGTAAATGTCGAGACATTTGAGAGTTGAATGCAATTAAAAATTAACACATTTTTATACAACAAAATACAAATGGATTTAAATAGATATACAGTTTATTATATATATATATATATGAGTGGAAAAGTAAGGGAAAGGGATGTATCAATTGGATTGAGTTAATGGACACTCAGAGGCATAAGGAGTGATAGATAAATATATAGTGAAAAATTTATGTCAAACCTGGAAGATATTGAATCCGTTTTCTCATTTCGTGATTGATTTCATTGAGAACTACGAGACACTCAAAAATTGATGCCTCGTTTCCGTACTTTTTAATTAAGTCTTTGTCGTTAATAAATACTGAAACACTTGTATTATAAGCGCCTCTCGGCGTTGATTTAAACTCTTTGCGATAGATGTCTAAAGTCCGCGGTTGAGTGCCGTCGTGAGCGACCCGATAAATGGTCAGTTCTGGCATCGGATACACTTCACTCACTTTACACATTAACTCAGATGACAAACTATTATAATGTTGGTCTTCATTTGAATGTGATTTATAACTACTGTCCCTATCATTTGCATCGTTATATTTGTTTTTATGTTTCCTGAGGGCAGCGCTGAACTCTTTACGTGTGACCGGCTTATGGCTAAACTCTATGTCAGTCGGTGTGGCTGTAAATGTTTGACAACACATAAAAACATATTATAGTATATATAACTTAATTGTTATAATAAAAATGTAATCAAAAACTAATGGTTTTTCAATCACTACATACCGTAGACAATCATAGACTCTTCTCTGGAGTCTTGGCTCTGCAATGACTGGACATGACATGAATATCTGCCACTCAAGTCAACAGTGGGTCGCAAAAGATTGATAGCTCTGTGTTTAATTAAAGGGTCGTCACTAACGGCATAATCCAAATTGATTCGACCCTTCAAACGACTGGACGCAAACCGAGTGCCGTACTCAGGGATATACTGATAGATGGGCTCCGGGTCATCGTTGAGGAACCACTTGACCACTAGATTTCTGTCATCAATTCTATCCATTGTGTAAATACAGTCTAACACTACTGACTCTTGTGTGCCGTTCTCTACCAGACGGGGAACAGACATCTCTTTGATTTTTATTAAAGCGCTACAAATATCTGCCAATTATTTGATATAAATTAAATAAAAATAGCAAATTAGAGATTAAATAATAGATAATTAGATATATATCTTAATATATAAAAAATATTTAATGTTAGAACTTTATAAAATAAAATTTTATTATTTATTACTTCTAACTTATTATAAATTAAATAGAAATTTTTCTTTTAAATTATTATGTCAGTTTCAAAGTTATTAAATTTTGAAAAATTAAGTTTATTTTATACATTAATTACAATAATGTCACACACATTACATACATAATATCTGAAAATTATTAAATATTAAAGAAAACAATAATTAGATTACTGTTAACTAATGGTTAAATATCTCTTGAAATTTATTTATTTTGTTTATGCATTTAATTTATTAAATGTTTTTTAAAAATAAAAATTTACTGAAAAAAATTATAATTAAATTATTTCTGTTTATTTTGATTCTCAAGAGATTCCAAATGCATTGAATAACTAAAATTATATTTAATAGTATAGATAATGAAGTTAATTATTGTACAAAGCATTGTATAAAAAAATTAATTTAAATTTATATATGGTTTTTAGTGGCTCTGGAGAGTTGTATGTATGCAATACGTATAGTATAGTGCAGTATATGATATGAGTGGCAAAATATTGTCGACTAAAAACATGATGACTGACAGTCTAATCAATAGAAAAATTAATTTTGATAAATGTCTGCAATGAGAGAAGTGAGTAATCATTCATCATTCATACGGCTCACACATTAATTAGTGGGCTATTAATAAGTGTTTTTATTTATTATTATATATACATTTAAATTATAATATTGATATATATATATATATATATATATATATATATATAGAGAGAGAGAGAGAGAGAGAGAGAGAATAAAATTATCATAAAATGCATATCTTATCTTAGTTTTAATAAGAAGTGCTTAACAAATACTATACTGTATATAGTATTATACAGTATTTAGTAAACGTTTGAAAAGTAATCCATCACTACTTAATTAGCCGTAATTTTCAAACTTTAAATATATGTATAAACATATAACGCATTGTGAATAATAATTGTCTAAAAATCACATAAACTTTAATCTTGATTAATGACAATTATCAATGGGAATACATGCTCTCTCTCTCTCTCTCTCTCTCTCTCTCTCTCTCTCTCTCTCTCTCTCTCTCTCACTCTCAATGGTAATGCCGTTAAAATTTGATAATCAAAGTGTAGATTATTTTGTGTTTGTTTTTCACACTTTTAAAAAGATATGCAAATAAATGCATAGAAATGCATGTTGATAAGTTATGATAACAAATTTCATATAAAATTTTTGTTTTATTTTCTTATAATTTAAGTATTAAGTCTTAATTAATTTTCTGTATTTTATAAAGAATTAATAATAATGATATTATATTTAATTGCAATGATATTTAGAGTGAATTATATTATTTATATAGAAATATTTATAATAAAATTTAAAAATAAGGTATATTTACAAAACAATTGTAATGTTTTGTCATTACATTCACAACATTTAAATATCACTACAACTGATTAATTTAGTTGCTTTTAAACTATATTAAGCTGTAATTTGTTTAATGCTTTCTCGAGTTCACATGAAATGCATTATATAATATTAACTATAATTTTATATAAAAGTAGAGAAAGAAAGAAAGAGAGAGAGAGAGAGAGAGAGAGAKAGAGAGAKAGAKAGAKAGAGAGAGAGAGAGAGAGCATGAAATCGACGATTTAATACAATTATCGTTGCATTCATTCAATACAAGTAATGAGTGTTTTGAGGCCAGAGTTCGCTAACAAATCACATAATAATATCAATACATATATGCAGTGAAGTGCCATTCGAGGCGCTATTCACTCAGTCATCCATTTATTTTTAGTGTTTGAAATGTAAAACAAGTTTTGCTTACAATGAATGCAACCTTTTATTTAAGATTTTGATTGAAAAAGCTATTATAAAATCAATATTAAATAACATCATTATTATTATAAACTCTATGAAATAAATTTTTAAAAATATTAATTTACTTTATTTTTCTAACTCTATTTTTTCTCACTCACTACACACACACACACACACACACACACACACACACACACACACACACACACACACACATACATACATACATACATACATACATACATACATACATACATACATACATACATACATACATACATACATACATACATACATACACACACACACACACACACACACACACACACACACACACACACACACACACACACACACACACACACACACAGTTCAAGTGTTGTTTTCGTTTTTTATACATAAGATCATTAAAACTAAATTTTAAATAACATTTTATCCAATCATTTATTTTAGTCAAACAATAAATTTTATGTATGTTTTATATAAATTATATAATGTTATATATTTTTACGAGTCGTATAATAATAAAAGCAGAGTTGTATGAAAATGTATGAAAAAGTTATGCTAGGAATTCATGTGTGAGTCTCTCTATTTGAGTTAGAAATGCTTATCACATAAAAAAATAAATAAATAAATAAAAATATTTAATAATAATATCGGAAAAGGCCATAAAAATAAAAATATAATTTTTATGTTTGAATTGAGAATAAGTGCACAAAAAATAGTTCAAAATTACATAAAAAGTGAAGTGTAAAACATTATTGTTATGGTTTTATATTTTTATATTAATGTATAAATACAGTACTTTATATACTCTATATAAGGTTATGTGTTTGAAATATTGACCAAAATTTAAACTCATATTAATAAACTAAATTATATAAAAATATTCAAAAAAAACTTGAAAAGTTTTGTTTTCTGAAATCTATACGAGCCTTTTGTGTGTGTGTGTGTGTGTGTGTGTGTAGCAATTTTTTTGCGAATTTTGAAATTCTGACTTCAGATTCGGTTAACTAATGTAAAACATTATTGTTGAAATTCTGACTTCAGATTCGGTTAGAGGACTACTAATAATGTATTGAAAAGTTTCATTAAAATTTTGATATCTCTTCGGGAACAAGACAAAATGGCGGCCAAAGTAAAAATTTTTTTATATAGATTTGAATAAAGCATCAAAAACAAGGATAAAAAATATACATTAAAATTTTGATATAACATAAAGAAAATGGCGGCCAAAGTAAAAAAATTAGGTAAAAATTTTAACGTTTATAATTGTAAAGAGTATCAAAAATATGATATAAAAAATCAGTATAAATTTTTTTAAATGGCGGCAAAAGTATAAAAAAAAATTAAGAAATTTTTTTAAAGTATAGATTTGAATAAACCATCAAAAACAAGGATAAAAAATATGCATTAAAATTTTGATATCTATAAGTATAAGTATAATTATAGATGATTATTTTGTTATACTAAATCATTTGATACCACAAAGTTTGATTATTTTGCCACTAATATTTGATAAACTAAATTATATAAAAATATTTTGATACTGTTATTTATATTATGTATATTTGACCAGTTTTTAAATTTTTATAAATACATAATTATACAAACTAATAGTTTTCAATGTTACAAGTTATAAATAAACTAATTATAAATACATATTGTTTGACACAAATTTTATTATTATTATATATATATATATATATATATATATATATATATATATATATATATATTGTAATTGCAAATAGTTTTCTAATAAACATTTCATTGAACAAAAAACACAATTAAAAACTTTTTTTATTTCTTTATTGATTTTTTATTATAGTGTTTTCATTACTTAAGAAAAGTTGCAATTAATTTGCTTTTTGTGTATTCATTGCTTTTTCTCTTTATTTTATTCAGTATTTCAATTGCTTTGATGGTTGTCTACAATAGTGGGCATACCTTACGGTTCTGTTTGACTGACTCTGCAAATGTCTGTCGTCTTTCTCTGTCATCTCTATTGAAGCGACTATTTCTTTATTAAAGACAAGTCGTTGATCAGGCATTTCCTGTGTTAACACACTATTTATTTATTGCCTATTCATACCTAAACCTATTGCACTAACGTTACTAATATGAGTCCTCACTATTACTCTCACTCTTTCACTCTTTGATCGACAAAATATTATATATATATATATATATATTGTGTAATTTCATAGAAAATCTCTTCAAAAAAATTATTATTATTATATATATATTTGGATTTATGTTAGCAATACTTATATTCATAGTACTCGAAATGCAACTATTTTTTGAATTATTTTAATGTAAAAATTGCATTCAATTGAAATATAACTGAAGTCAATATATATGATATGAAATGATAGGTTGTCTATTGAATGAATTGCTTTGAATAAACACTTAAGCTAAACATAAAAATGTAGTTTTTTTAGAAATAAAGCAAAATTATACTATTTATATAAAATATGAATAGCATTATATTGTACAATATTTATTATATTATTTTATATATAAAAGTATTACTGCTATAACTCAGTTTATGTGGGAATTTTTTTTTAATGAACTAATATTAAATATTAAACATCAATTAATAAATTACTTTTATACAACAACAAAAAAACATAGTAACATCAATTGAATAAATATTTTAATGATTGGTTTATTAAATTTTGGCAAAAATAGCTATAATAAACTAGAAATATTACATATATTTATCAAATATAAAAAAATACTTTTATTTTACCAAAATAACTGATAAACAAACAATAAAAAAAATTTAACTAAGGATTGGGTAAAAATTGTGATTTTATTTGACAACAAATGAAATTATCCGAAAATATACTAATCTGTGTTTAAATCATTTAATATTTATTATTCAATTAAATACAACACCAATTATTGGACAGTAAATTTATTTAATGTTTAAAAAAACTATTAATATTTGTATTTATTAACTGTAAATTTTATTTTATTTTTTTTGACATATTATAATAATTTGTTAGTGTAATCTAAATGATAAATAAATTTTTTGCAAACATTAAAAATCATGTTTATTAAACAAAATGTTTTATTTATTTTATTTATTACTTTAAAATTACAAATTTGTACAGTAAATATCACAAATTGCTTAAATAAAATAATTTATATTATTAAATTAAAAAAATTGAATTTAATTTTTAAAATAAAATAATGCATAAAAAATTAATATGTTATGAAATTTAGCAAATTATTTAATTAAACCAATAGTTTATTATCAATAGTAAGAATCAATAGTTCATTTGAAGCTTTAAGCAATTTCTCAATTTGATTAATAACTTRAAGTTAATTAGCTTTTAATGCTATAAAAATTACATCTTTTATCTTATAATTAATTGATTAATTTTTTTTATAAACTATAATTTATTTGATATAATAAAATATTTATTTAAATATAAAACAACAACAACAACAACAACATAAGTATCTCTAATAAATTATTATATAAAATTGACATAACGTCTCAATAAATAACTTTTTAAATACTAATATACAACCAATTGTTATTAGGATATACTAAGAACTGTATGGTTTGTATGCTTACCTCCCAATGAGATAATAAATATCCAGAAACTTATCCGAGTCCTTGTGCTTCCCATAACATATTAATAATAGACATAACAGTTGACAAACATAACCATCTGATATCACAAATACTTAACTAACTCTTGAGTAACACACAAGTTATGTCTGAAAGTATATGTGATTTCATTCACCACTAGTGTATTGTATGGCAAAAGACGAGTCAATCCCAGGGTTTTGCTAAATGTATTGATGTCTATTCGGGTACCATATATGCAGCACATGTGCACACAGATGCGCATCAATACCAGTGCTGGACATCAATAGTTTTCACGCAGTATATTATTAAATGTTTTCAAGTTTTAAATAAGTTACCAATTTTTGTGTATACTTTTTATGCTATATTAAAAATATTGAACTATTTTATAATAAAAATGCACCTGATGAATTTTTATTGAAAATAATGTAGACTTAAACAATATATTGTATAAATTGATGAAAAATATAAATGTATGTAAAATTGATTGTATAATATTGTACTACAAGTTATATTATATAAGATGCAATCAAATCATATGATGATATGAAATGCTGGCAAAGCTTTTTATGATGCAATTCACTATTCAATGCATTGTTTTATTAGTATTGTATTGTATTTGTTGGATACAAATAAAAGTAAATAATCATCAATTTGTGTGCTTTCACTTCCAATATAAATACAATATATAATAAACTCTCTGCGATTGTAAGTAAAGTAAATCCATAGCTTTGTGTGAGAATAATGTGTAAATACAATGGCATACAACACACGACTCTTATATAACTTATATATATATATATATAATACAATATTTGATGTATATTATAGTTATTTTTATTATAGTTATGTTATGCTATTTGTGAGGCAATCGAGACGCCCAACACTTTACATGATAAGACTTAAAAAAAGAGTAAATCAAATTACAAATCCATTACCACACATGTCGTTCATATTATGTTTATATATAAAATATATATTTTTAGTGCCCAAACCTATTATAAGCAATACTATTCTAAAAAACAAATATTTTTATTGTGTGAGAGAGAGAGAGAGAGAGAGAGACAATGCGTTAAAATTTGTTTAAAATGCTAAATAAACTTAAACTTAAACTATTTGTAAAAGACGTGTCAAGAATTTGCCACAACATCTAAGGCACTCACACACAGACACACATACATACTGTACAAACCATACCGTAATGATAGCAATGGTATGCTTGTCAGTACACTTACGTCCAAAACAGTGATCATATGTTAAACAGTTGATCCCAATGTCCCTTCTCATCGATAAAAGCGATAATCTTTTTGGTGACACATTTGATGAACGAATAGTTGTACTTATAGTACGTATAGTACTTTCTATAACTAAATCTATCAATTTTTGTTGTCTTTCTTTCTTTTGTTATTATATTTGATTTCAAATGACAATGAAATGGTCGACAAGAAACTGGTCATCAAAATTACTGAAACTTTATAAGAGAATAAAGAAAATACAATACAATATACTGTATATAAGATATACTTTGCCATTGAATGCTTGAAAAGTTTAACTTAGAGTGACTGACAATAGGAGACAACAGTATGTGTGAGTGTTGTTATACAATACAATGAATGACTTTAAATATATCTAATTTCCCAATGGTTTCATCCAAACGCCACACTTAGTGCACCACAAGAGGCCATCCATTCTGGAGAGGAGTCGCCGACTCTAGACTCACGTCTTTGTTGTCTTTATTCAAACATACAATCAAATTAACCCCAACCCGAGTCCTACATTAAAAACATTGTCATCAGTCAATTGATGATCTACTTAGGCATCACTTGTAGTAGTTTTCAAACATCTAATACTGTTTGCCAACATTTACGACGAGACTATCATTTTTCACTAACATTTTTCCTATAATTAGAGTTCAATCAACATTCCCAGAGGGAAGTTCTTTAAAAAAAATCCCCCAATTTTCCTGAAAAATATGGAAAATATTTTATTTTACCTACCTTGATCGTTAGAAAGGGAAATATTTTTTTATATTATTACAATAGTAAGCAAAACTTAAATATTTTACAAAAAAATATTGAAATATTTAAAAAATAAATTTTAATTCAATAAATTTAGTGAAACTTTATCAATACAACTTAAAATACAGTTTAATACACTGTAGAATATTTGTTTTTCAAACATTATCATAAAATGTGTTGTTTAGAGTTTAATAGGTGATAGCACAAGGAAATAGATTCTCTAGGAATTCCCAGGGAATATAAGGAACTTTTGGAAGTAAAACGAGGGATGGAATCTGATCTAACCCTACGTATATTAATAGTCATACTTTTACTAATTATATTTAACTATTAGTCCAACATTTATCTAATTCATAATAAGTTTAAAACAGTATTTTCACTGAACTTATTTAAGTTTACTTAACTTAAGTGTTATTAAAGTGGAATCAATTTGTATTCACGAGATAATACATTAGAGAATTCAAAATATTTATTATTTAATTTATTGTATAATTATAAAAAGGAATTAGAATTATATGACAAAATTATTAATAAAATATAATGTATTATTTGTATTAATTTCTATAATACTAGATTAGAAACAATAACAGTTTAATTTTTGTAAAATATAATTATATATTAATAATAATAACAATATTATTTTATGTTAAGAATTTATGAAAAATTAATTAATTAAATATTACAATTAAATAAAAACCAACTATGATTTAATTATTATTATTTTTTGTTTTATTTAATCCTTTTTTAATTAATACAAAACAATATAATAATTTTGTACTAATAATGCTACCATAAATAATAAATTTAAAACAAAATATATATCTCMAAATATAATATTAAATATTTGTATATTTATATACCTCGCAGTGAATTTTTAAAATTACTGAAAAATTCCAATATATTCATAATTTTATAAAGTTTATATGATATAATTTATGTAAAATGCAGTATATATATATAATATAATACATATACATTTAAATAAAATTTAGATATTTGTTATAAAATTATGCCAAAAATATTTATGTATACAATATATTATTGTATTTATACAGTGAATCGAAAACACGAAAAATATTTTAACCATAACTTTGACTTTTTTACGGATATCTAAACACTAATATAAAAGGCTTTAACAGTTATAAATGTGTCATATTTTCCTCATATATTTGGCTCAACAAATATCATATACGTATTGAAACTGAAAATATCTTTTCATTTCAATAAAAAATATGACATTTTTTCTTTTTATACAACAAATAATTACGAAATTATGAAAGTTGAGACAAATGATAAAATTTGTGCAAAACTAACTGTAAATATTGKTTACTATAATCTAGTTATGAATACATATTTCAGAGTGTATTCACTTCGTGTAAATTTATGTCTTAAGTTATAAATAAATATGTATTTTGTCGTTAATTTATTTAACAAACAGAGAAATGTTTTGTTTGCTTAAAAGAGATGCCATTAAATTAGTTTCTGTAGTACTTTACTTATAAGTAATCAAACAGTAATTCAATATTTTTTATGTGTTATAAGATTATCTTATAAATAGTATAGTATATAAATAACATACAAATTATTATAATATTTAAGATAATTATAAATATAAACTATACTAAAAATTAATTATTTTGCATAAAGTTATTAAATTAAGCAATTTATTTTATATAAATATTCATGTATATTGTATTAAAAATATATAGTATACTAAATTTATAATAACATTTTATATTTTACTATAACTTTTAATTTTCAATTCATTTTATTTAAAGAGTATCACTATTTAGGCATTTTTATACATCAAATTTAGATAATAATGATATAATGTAATTATAAAATATAATAATCAATTGACTTATAATTACTGATAACACAACATTAATTATAAATCTAAATTGTTGTAATTAATTGATAAAAAAAGTATTTAAAAGTTGAAATATTAATCATTAATATATCTTAAATATAAATTTAACTAATTATTGAATCAAATATCAACTAAAGTAACACCGATACAAGTTATGTGATAATGTGATACTTAAATACAGAATTTTTACAGAATAAAAATGCAATAGTTTTTTTTAATTATAATAGTTATTGATTTTTAAAATATTGAATAAAATTGCAAGTATTTTATAGTATGATTAATTGAGTGTTAATTAATTTATTTTTTTTTTTGGATTAATTAATAAATGATAATGAAATAATAAATTTATTATTAATATTAATAATACAAATATTAATATATTGTAATAAATGTATAACTTTTGTATTTTGTAATATCAATTTGTTTATTTAGATGAATATTTAGATATTGCTTTTTAAGTCGTATTTCAAAAAGCGTTGAGAAAGTTGAGTAAATTGTATAAAAGTCAACCTTTTGGCGACTTTTATATTAAGACAAGTAGTGAAACATTTGATGGATTGTATGGATTGTGAGTGCACTTTCAGTACAGACCAATCCTCCCGAGTATTGGTCCATATATTGCAAATATTACGGCTTATCTCAACTGTCAAATACCTTATACTATATATACCTTACTTTACTTCACTTTTATTTTCTTTTCTTTTATCCATTCATTCAATACTTAGTCCATTATATCATACATTTAGGTCAACAGTTGCCTCTGAGCTGAAAATACAGTATTTTCTGTTTTTATTGTCAATACTATCTACAAGTAATAGTAGTATCAATAGTATTACAATCAAAATGAGTCTTATATATAATATATTAGTTACTTTGAAATATTTTTACCGATATTTTATTACTTTATTTTAATATTGAAAAAAATGTTAAATCATATTCACATTGAACTTATAATTATTTAATTATGATTACTTTGAAATTTTTATATTATTATTAATGCTATACAGTATTTTTGAAGGTTTTGAAAAAAACTATTTAATTTATTTTGTCTTTATATTTGTTATATTTAATGTTAGAGCTATTATTGTTGTTTTACCCTAAACATTGTTTAATCAATTTTATTTACTATTTTTATAAAAATAAATAACAATGTAATAAATTTTTGTTAATTTTCTATAAATATATAGATAGATCTATTTTTATAGCTTTATTTCTCACTCTGTATATAGTTATCTACTCTTAATTTAATGTTTTAGTGGACTTAGCAGAGGAAGAAAAAAACAATTGAAAATAATAAAACAAATTTAGAGCTTATGGTATGTATTGGATTTCAACAAATAAAAAGACAAATATTGTATATAAAAATAAAAGTTGTTTTCAGTTGAATCAGTCGAGTCTTTAAATTTCAACATAACATCACTTGTATATCGCAATCACAAAAAATAATAATAACCAAAAAWATATATATATATATATATTATGAGTGATGTTATATAAGGTGACTGACCCTTTACTTCATTTTATTGTTTTATGCTTTATATTTGTACAGTATATTAGTCTTATGTTTTTAAATATATCATTTATATTAATAGTTTATTTTTTTTTGTATTAAGATAAATATTTAACTCATTCTTCAAAAAACACTATTAATTAAAATCATTTATTTTATCTCTCGGTTTATTTAAACAATTAATTAAATGACACACACCTAACATTTATTGCAATTAACGCTTCAATTGTAACCTATTTATAGTATCATTGAAATTATTATATATTAAATTGACATTTTTGGTATAAAATTCAAAATATATTWAATATATTTATTATATATATATATATAAATAATATGTAACAGCACTTGTGATGCTTGAAATTTTTCAAATAAAATTTTGTCTAATTTATTATGTATAGGAAACTTAGAGATGAAAAATTAATAAATATTTGATTAATCAAGTAATTGGAAAATTTTAATTAAATATCTGATTATTTTAAAGTTGATACTCTATCTATAATTTATTAATTATAATACAAATATATTTACTAGAGTATACTTTTTTATTAATAAAATTCATAGAATTTTTGATGATTTTATTAACAGTAAAATACTCTATAAGCCGATCAAAAGTATTACTACTTTATTCATGTTATATGTAATAGTGTGTGTATAAGACTACTCTTTTACATATAAAAAATATGATGAGATATGATATGATATTAACTTTGAAACATAAGAGTATTAATACTTTTGTGCCGAAAAAAAGAGTTTACTTAACATTATAAATACATATATAATTCAAATTCATCACAAAAGTCTAGCAACATATACACATATTTTATATATTATATAATAATATGTGTGTATATAAAGTATTTATGTCATCACTATTGGCGAGTGCTTTACATAATTAAAACCCATAAGAATATTGTTATGAAAAAAGCATTAATCCATTTGTCAGATCTTTTAAGTCCCCATTCAATGCCTAATATACTAAAACAAACTCGTATTGAATTATCAACGCATTAATAAAATGAAATAAAATGAAAATGTGTACTAAAATTATACTTTATTTATAAACAACTATAACATATATATATATGAAATTCATACAACATTTCTAACGCTTTTATAAATAACATGTGTAGCTCTCAATTACGTGAAAAATGTATTAAATGAATGAATTATTAACGAAATGCTACAATTCATTGCACATAATATGAGGCAAACAGTAATCAGATCATTGCGTTTCTGTTGCCATACCAGTGCCCTAAGACTCACTATATTATCAATGATAAGCCATCCTAAAGATTGTATTCAATAATATGTAAATATATATAAAAACGTATACAAACCCAGGCATTCATTACATTTAATGACATATAATTCTGATCACAAAAATAAATGTCAAAAAATAAGATCAGAATTTTGCTTATTATTAATAGAGATAATACCACACAATGTTATGATATGCTATGAATATTCCGTGTGTTTGTTATGCAAAAATTATTTGAAGATATATTAAATTATTAATGATTTGAAGATAAAAAAGATTAGATACTGATATGTTTTATATGATTTGCACGAAAGATCTTTGCTATCATAGAGCTAATTGAATTGGATTTGTAATTGATTTTTATAACAAAAATATTATAAAAATATTATCTAATTTCATATTTTATTCAAAAACTTCTCCTGATTTCTGATTATATATTATTTCAATAATAAATAATAATTTTACATTAAGTTATTGTACAGTATTTAATGGTAATTATAAATTTATTCAATTAATTAATACAAATTAAATTGAATCAAAATATAGTTAATATTTATAAATTTGATTTTCAATTATCACAATTTGATCATAATTTTTTTTAAACCACTCATAAACAATAAACAGGTGATTTGAATCAATAAAATGTTTAATTAAGTAATTAGTTTTTATTCAATAAWTTTTTTTATCTTTTAATACACTTTAGACAAAACAGTATGATTTAAAAAGTGACTGTATGTGCACTTAATCAGTAAATACCGGKTTTTAGACATTTTTTTCATTATTTACTCAATCGTTTGATCAAAGTTTTGTGCCGACAGATAGTAATCAATGCCTTTGACTGTTGAATGACTGATTCTGGACTACATTTGTGACCCATCGGTGAGTGTCAGCAGTGGTTTAAATCTCGAACTCACCAAACGTTTCATATATTGAAATAAACTTTTTTTCCGTTACCAGTGTTTGTTTAAAAATTATTTTTTTTATCCAAACTATAACTTTCTTACAGTATTTTAAATATTTAAAAATATCAAATTTATTTACAATTTTATTTTTAAAGCATTGTTTTCAATCAAAAAAACATTTTTCATTGAAAACATGATTCATGACTAAATAATTATTTATAAAAATATTTATAATTAATGAGTTAACAATTTTTATTAGTAATTAATTCTTTTTATTTGTTATTATAATAATTGATAATAAAATAAATTTCCATAAAATATTTGTTTGCAACAGTTAATACTATAATTTAAAGTTATAATTATAAAAATGTTTRATTATACAGTAATTAATGCTTTATCATAAAAAAATTATATTAGTTAATATATTCTCAAATTAATATCAAACATTTATAACTCATATAATTAATCTTTTAAGTGAATAAATTGTTGATTCAATTTAAAAATATAATCGACTTTCAAATGTCATTTAAAATTTATATTTTATTTAAATGATAATTGTTTGTCTGAATAAAATATTTTTTTGTTTATATAATAAAAAATATCAACAATTTGATGTATAACTCTAATAATCAATTTTATAAGACATCCTGTGTACAAAAAAAAAACCTCATAAGTCTAACACAAAACAAAACCATAAAACTGTATAATTTTATCAAAATTATTAATTAATAAAATGTTTATCGGCAGATAATTTATTAACTAAAATTATTAAATAATATAAAATCACTATTACCGGTATTGTGTAGTTTTATATCTAATATATTACAAATAGTGATAAACAGATAATGAAATCATAAKTTAGACTTTGATTTTATAATTAAATTAGAAAATACACTATAAAAATAATATAAACTGATTTAAACTCAAATTGAAATAAAAAAATATATGAATGTATACATGAATTGTGTAAATATTGTAAAATGTCAGTGAAGGACATATTCAATAAAAAAAATTCAGACAAAAAAATGTCAATTACTGTCAATAATGATTGATTTAAGCATTAAAAACATATACCGTAATCTATAAATTAATACAATGTTTAGTCAAATTATCATTAATTTTAAAATTAAATTAATTTAGCGCTAATTTTGAGTCTTTTATTAAAAAAGATATCAATTAAAAGGAYAGTCATTATTGTTCATATGAGTCGAGTTCAGCCAAATAGTTAAGGATATCGATGTGAGTGATAATACCGGCGATCCTCTCGGATCGGTCAGAGACGGCATCGAAGACAACCACATAGGGATGTGTCTTCAAAATGCGCGAAATTGATCCTAACTTTCCTTGTCTTTCGATTTTTGGATAACTAGTTATCAATACTTCGCTAACAGGACTATCCATCGTAATGTTTTGTCCCGACATTTTGGCCATAATGTGGCCGACGGTAATCATTCCCATCATAATGCTATCATCGTTAAGAACAGGTAGCTGATCGTAACCATGTTTTCTCATAATGGAAATGGCGTCAAAACATTTGGTGCGCGGACTAACACTGTCCACATTCATGCCGTGAACCAAGTTGTCGATGGGTTCGTCCCAAAACCACGGTTTCTGTTCGACGTCATTGTTATCAATGTCAGTGACGGCAAAGTTGCGTTCAATCATCCACTCGTCTTCTAAGAATTTGGTCATATAATTCCTGACGCCATCCGGAAGTACAACAACACAACGTTGATCTTCTCTCAGATCTTTAGCCGCCTTCATAGCCGCCACAACAGCAGTGCCCGAACTTCCGCCACATAGTAGGCCTTCTTCTGCAATCAGTTTTCGTGCCATTTCTAGTGAGGATTTGTCATCACTTTTATACCATTTGTCGACAACACTTCTATCCAAAACAGTCGGAACAAAATCATAACCAATGCCTTCGACCTCATAAAAAGTTGTCTCTGTTTTGTTAAGCTCTTCAGGTTCGGCCAGAATTGATCCCAAAGGGTCGACACCGACAATCTGACAGTCAGGCAGTACTTCCTTAATTTTTCGACCGATTCCAGTGACGGAACCACCGGTTCCGGCGCCGACAACAACCATATCCACATTGTTATCTGTCTGTTGCAATATCTCTTCAGCGGTCGTGTCGTAATGAGCTATAGGATTGCTGGCATTACAGTACTGATCCAATATAATAGAGTTTTTGATTTGTTGACAAAGTCTTCGGGCGACGTGTATGTGACTGTTCGGTGAGTCAAAACTGGCCGAAGTCGGTGTCCGCACAATCTTCGCGCCCAAAGCGTGCAAAGTATTCATCTTTTCGTTTGACATTTTCTCCGGCATAACAATTATACATTTGTATCCCTTGACCGCAGCGGCCAACGCCAGTCCAATACCGGTGTTACCACTGGTCGGCTCTATGATAGTATAGCCTTCCTTCAGAATACCATCTCTTTCTGCATCGCAAACCATCTTCAATGCAATCCTGTCCTTAACACTTCCGCCGGCATTAAAATACTCACATTTGGCCAACACTTCGCAACGGACGCCATACTGTTTAGCGATCTTATTGAGTCTAACGAGTGGTGTGTCACCGATTTGGTCCAAAATGTTGGACAATATCTTCGGTTTCTGTTTGAGGCAATCGTGTCGATGCGGGTCCTCAGCTGTCGATGACTTGTCGAGACTCCACAAACATCTGGACGGTCTGTTTGGTTCAGAAAATTGTTTACTCATTATTGATGACACTCTTCACTATTATTTCTTGTGGTTCTTTGAATCTTCAGATCACTAATATTGTCGATCAAATGTCTGGACAATCAAAGTGTTGACACAATATATATATAATCAATGCTTTATAACTRTAAGACAACTAACTGTTGATTCAATAAAACCATTACTTAAAAAACTAAACAAAAGTATAGACTAGAAGTGCAATATTTTACTATTTTTTATAATATTTTTTTTGATCGATTACTTCCCGTTTGTCAATAAAAACTAAAATATTTATTGGTTAGACATTTACCGGTAATTAATCAAATAGTTATTTATAAACGTTTTTTTTGTTATTATCTATTATTATAATGATAATTATTCAATGCCTTGTTTAATTTAGTAATTGATAACTGTATTAATAATGTTTTTTTTGAATAACAAATTTATTACCCAACACAGCACAGTAATCACGATAACGGGTAAGTTTTGTCATTACTATTTGATAAAAGTGATAAACAGTTTATAAAAAAATGTATTATCATTATAATGATTATGTATTAATAAATACAATATTAATAATGTWTGATTGTATTGTACAGTACTGTACAGTATTGGGCAATCGTAACATACACACAATTATACGCACAATCAAATATATACTAGTATTTTGGCAAATTAAACATGCTAATTTTTATACAGTATAAATTATAGGGATAATGTATTTAAGTGAGGTTTAGTTTTCATCATAAATTTATCCATGTTATTTTTTAAATTAACTCAATTATTTTCTTATAATTTTAATTATACAGTAAATCTATGATTAAGTTACTGTACTGTAGCTTATGTACAAACAAAATTGAAACCTCAAACAAACCAACTGTACAAACAAATGCTAAATTAATTATAATAAAAAATAAAATTCAGTTTAATTTACATCAATTCATAGCTAATATAATATATCATATGATTGAAGTCCAGTTTAATGTCAATACTATTATATTATTAAAACATTCAATAATTCAGTTCTCGCATTGCAAAGTAATTACCGGTAATGCAACAAATTTGGGTTACATTTTATAATGTATTCAATATATTAATATCTATGTTTTAATATAAGTTTCAATTAGACATTAGAAATGTTATTATCAATTTTTTATTACAAAAATTAACTTTATATCAGTAGATTATTACAATAAAATTAATATATTTTACATATATTTTAAGGTATTTTACATTTATGATTATCTGTATAAATTTCTTATACAATTAAAATTATAAATATTTTTTGGATGCAATCACTTACGGTATGTTATGTAACTTATGTTTCATTAGTATAATTAAAGAAATACATGTACTAAAATTGATTATCTAATTGATCTGAGAAATGTCGATAAATTTATTATAAGTTTTATTAGTCATACGGTAAGTACTACTAAACGATTATTGTTGTTGTGGTGGATAATAATTGTAATAATATGATTGTGGATTATATGCATATTGTTGGCCATTTTGACCATACATTCCTTGAGGATTCGGTTGTTGTTGTTGTTGTTGTTGATGATGAGAGTAATTATAATATTGTTGGTTATTGTGTGTATAATTATAATTCAAAAGCATATTTGGTGGATATTGTTGTTGCGGAGGGTATCGTTGAGCCGGTGCTTGATATTGATGAGCTGGTTGTGGCTGTGGTTGTTGTTGTTGTTGTGGATAATGTTGTCGATGAGATTGTATATTATTTTGTTGTGGGACAGCATTGGTCACAACTTGTCTTGAATTACTAATTGATTGATTTCTTTGAAAAGTTTGATGAACATGTGAAATGAGATGTTGTTGTTGTTGTTGCGAAACTTCGAGTACATTAAGACCAACAACATTGATAGTGGTATCACAACCTTCACATACAATTGCCGCTAATTTGGTTGTCGTCGTATCAAATTTAAATTGCCAATTACTACGAATCGGTTGATTACTACCTGTATTTGTTGGTCGGTTCGCTTGTGTCGATGCCTGTGTCACACTTGATGTTGAAGCTATTGGACGTGTTATTGTATTTCCTGTCGTTCTATTCATCACTACATTAAAACTAGTGGACGGATGTGAAGTCGAAGCAAGTCTTTGTTGTTGTTGTTGTTGTCTTATCTGAGTTTGTGGTTGTAATGGATTTCTTAAATTTATTGAACCACTTGTTGTTGGTCTCGATTGTTGAACAGTAGTGGTGGTCGAGGAGTGATTTGAATTGGATCGCAATTCGTGTTCTGATTCGGTTAAAAATTCTAGTATTTTGTTGATTGAAGTCTGCTTTTCAATGTTACCTCTCGTTTGTTCCCTATTTGTCTGAACGATTGACGAGACATGTTGTTCGGTATTCTTTGCCTGAGTCATCTGAGCATACAATGTGTCCAACAATTGATTACCGGTTGGCATAGACTTCGGAGCAGAAATAGCAAGAGGCGGTGGAGGAGTGTCACTGTCATCATCACTGAGTATATCAATTATATCGTCTTGAGTTGCATCTAAACTGACCACATTTGTATCTCCATTATGGTTTAATGCTAAGTAATATCAGTTCAATAAATTAATTGTAAATTAAATCTAAATTTTAAATAACAATTTCTAACTCTAACTACAATTACTATATTCTACTCACGATTATCTTGTTTTTTAATGTCAGGCATCCAAATGGCATTTGGATCAAATATGATGTTCTCAACGGGCGGATCATAATTGGCAGTCATTGATAAAATGTGTTGCATTAAACTGTTATAAATATCAAAATATCGGTAATTACCAATCAAAAGTATACAGTATATCGTATCAAAACATTRTGGTAATACAGTATTATTAAGTATATGTAAATATTTAAAGTAAAAACCTGTCAATGATTAGATCGGGTAGTTGTGCTTGTTTTGCACATTTAGGACATTTCCAGTCCTGTTGGTGTTTATTCCACCGAATATTTATATAATTATCGGCATCGAAACAATCAAAATGTAGACAATGTTTTGATCTCATCGGTGTCTTCACACGTAAATTTGATATCTAATTTAGAAGTAATAAAATTATAGTTATAAGTATATTATTAAATATATTGCAATTAATAATCAACTTACTGGACACAAAAGTGATACTTTCATTGTTCGCTCTAAAGCTTCGATGTCATCCGTGTCGTTATTCAAACACTTTTTCACTGTAAAAATCAAACAATGTTTAAATTATCTTAAATTCATAATATTATATAAACTATAAATCATTACTTCCATACCTTTATTTATAGTAATCATTGCTTCTTCAACGGAGAATACAATCACTGGTGGCAACTGTTGTGGCGGAGGAATAGTAGTTTGCACTCCATTCTTAAACTTAATGATAGATTGCGGTACTTTGTTAGGTGTGTGCACCAAAACACTCAACTGATACGGCAATGAAGGCAATTGTGGTTGTGGTGGCTGTGGTTCCTGTGGAATCTGCGGCAATGCCACTGCTAACTCATTAACTGCTTCAGTAGTCGCCACAGTGGCCACAGTTTTATCTTCAATTGGAACCAATGCTGTTATATCGGGTTTGATCTGAAAGAAAATAAATTGAGTKATAATAGCTTTTTAAAAATAAATAGGAAATTATTGTTTACACAATCACTATCATTGACTTTATCGATGACAATTGAGTTAACGTCAGTTGGCTTAAGTTGCAACTCATTGGAGATCCAATCAGTTTGAGTCATCCAATCACTCTCGAGGTCGGAATCGTCTAAATTGCTGTCCATCGAGCTCTCAGTGTCTGAACTCCACAGCGAAGTTTTTCTCAACAATCTTGTGGTGGCAATAGTTGACCGACAGTTGGGTATAAACTCGACGAACTCGATGTCATCACTTTCTTCATCAATGGTCGACACAACCATAGCTTCATTGTCTGAATCAGATTCAGAGACAATTCGTTGTCGTTTTTTCCGACTTGTCTTCGGTCTCATAACCATTGCTTCGTTGTCTGAGTCTATGTCTGTGTTTGTGTTTGAATCCGACTCTGAGTCCGAAATTCGGATCAATTTTCTTACTCTTGTCTTTGGTTTCATTTGTCACTCAATTAATGTCACCAATAGTTTGTTACAACACTAGTGTTTTGCTAACCTATTTGAATACAACACTAGTTTAACTCACACACAGTTTGCATCACTGATAAATTAATACATTATATTTWCTATCAATTCAGTACTTTTTCAAATATAATAGATTCACACATTTTGATCGATAAAAACATTGTCATAAATCATACCAAATCAATGATAAACGCATTACGTATACTTTAATTCAATTGTGTTAATTAATTAGTAAAATAATTATTAATAAATAAATGTAATAATAATTAATTTAATTAATGTTCAATAATTGCATTTAAGTTAATAATAAAGTATTAAAATGATATAATAGGTGTAATATGTAGTAATAATTATTAAAAACATTGACGTAATTAATGAATAAATTGCGCCAAAAGTACTGTCACTTATACAGTATGTCTGCGTTTTGAGAGTCAATCATATAATATAATAGTATTTCCCCTTAAAGATGACTCGTCCGCATATAATGTATAGCATTAACAGTGCTATACATTGAGTGTAATATTAATAGTATTGAAGCGCTTATTGTATATCATTATTGCAGTCAACTGTGTATTACAATACTGTAGTCACGCTTTGAGAGACCAAACAGTCAGTCATTATTTGATTCATTGTTGATGTAAGACATCGTCGGCACTGCCGGTGACCACACATTCAAAGACTAATACACTAACCATTGATTTTGTTTAGACCATTGTTGTCCTCCATCTGTGGCACACTTGTTGTTACCGATTAAAGATTTGTCTCAACCCATAGTCTCAAAGCACCGGTACTTATAATGTCGGCAAACGATTCCAAGGGAGAAGCGGGTGACGCAAACTCGGAGTACATTAAGTTGAAAGTGGTTGGACAGGACAGTAACGAAATTCACTTTCGGGTCAAAATGACCACACAATTCGGTAAATTGAAAAAATCTTACTCCGAAAGGGTTGGCGTTCAGGTCGGTTCACTTCGCTTCCTGTTTGACGGCCGACGTATCAATGACACGGACACACCAAAGCTTCTGGAGATGGAAAACGATGACGTGATAGAGGTTTATCAAGAACAGAGTGGTGGACAATGAGTGGACGGCATATATTTGGTCAGTCTTTTAGACCAAACTAACCATAAAACGCATTGTTTTTTTCATTTTTTTTAATTATAAATTTATTATTCAATCAATCAATTAATTCATTTAGTTATAATACAAACGATTCAAAATTAATACTTAATTTGTTTATCAAATCAGAGAAAATGTTTAACGTTTACGACAACATAATTATAACAGTATTTGTAATTTGATAAATCACTCCGATTTTAGTTTTAATAAGTACTACACAACACTATACAAAACTGATGTATATTTAAGTAATCATTAATTTGTGATCAAAATTTGATAAAATGTATAAAAAATAGAAATATATTGAAAATAATTTTTATTTAATTAATTATCATTTAGTCGAACTGTAATTTATCGTTAAAAATGTCGATAACTCTGTATTTTCATTATATTTTTGTTTATCGAAATAATTATATTCATTAACAGATTTTTTTTGTCAATCGATAAATCATTCCCTTTAATCATCAAATAATAAATAATTTTTAGAAACAATGCCTATTAATGATTAATAATGTAATATTCAAACGGATTCAATACTATGATATGTTCGGTACAATAGTTTGATTGCAAATGATTTCAACTAATTATGTTTTTTCGGCTCATTGTCTGTAATGAATTGGTCATCATCGGTGTGGCGACGATCAGCACCGTTGACATCATTGTCTTTGGCATGATTTCCATTAACAATGTTTTGCTGTAAATTTTGATTGTTGTCTCTAGCGATGAGCTGATCCGCGTACCAATTCATGAGTCTTTTTATGATAAACGACAATAAGAAAGCCATTACCACAATCAAGAGAGCTCTTCCTTCATATAGATTTTGTCTCTGAAATCAAATTAACATAAATTTTTAGAAGAGATTATTAATAAAAGTGGATTCAATTGATTATAACATCTTTGGGCATACCTTTTCATATCGAAACTGCAAACTCCTAAAAACTCTGTTTTTGCCCCAACTGTTGAGCAAAAATTGCCAGAAATGGATTTCATGCAATTGCCAGATGGACTCCGAGACCGCATACGGCACGTGAAGTGGATATATCGGGTCATAAAGTAAAGCCATTGATTTAAAACTTGTTTAACTTCTTGGGACTGATTTGTCGATTAGCGGTAAAATAATCTAATTTTTAGATATTTTCTTTAACTTTCAACAATACTACAGATATTTTCAAGTTTTTATATAAAAAATATTTAACACGTGATTAAATTATACCGAAAATTCAATCTATAAATTTCTATTTACCATAATCTCAATATTTCACATAAAATTTAATCCCAATATAGTTTATAAAACTTTAAAACCGGTTATCTTAAAATTTGTTATTAAAATAATTATTTTATTATCAGATATGATTTACAATATTTGTTATCAGATAAAATTTATTGCATTAGTGAAAAATATTTTCAACAAATGATAAAAGATTTATGATAACAAATAATAACAGCAATTAATATTATTTCAATAACAAAACTTATGATTTATTAAAAATATATGGAAGTTTGGACGTCGAAGAATAATTTAGTTGCTCTAACATTATCTTATCCGGTATACTAATACCCGATGGTCTGACAATACAATTGACTGATTCTAGTATTTCTCGGCTTTCGGGACTCAATATATAAAAGCATTTATTTTGGAAATCAATTCCTCTAATAATTGCTGATCCGAAGCACTCATTTCTGTCAATTGAATCAATAAATTTGATTCCCATTTCAACATAATATTTATCAATGAATTTAGGATCTAATCGACACAAATGAATCCACGAACAATTGAGAACATCCAGTGATAATTTTGGTGCAAAACGAGAGTCTAATTGAATTTTGACATAAACTTTGGACCACAATAATCTAAATGTAATAATTAATATTTTTAAGTTAATAAACTTATTTAAATATTGTTATCAAACTATAAATCAATTACTTGTACGGATTCATTGCATATATTGGCTTATATAAGATGTCCGGCATTTTAGCCATATATGACAACTGTTGTAAATCTCTGGTCATTTGATTTTTCTTAACGCGTCTATTGTTTGACTCAATGATAGATAATTTATATTTCAAGTGTCGGTTTCTATCAAAGCTATCAAATCGATAACCATTGAAACGTTTGATAGCATCTGATGTTAAATCAAATTGAAAATTATTTTTTGGTTCAATGGTTGAGTTTATTTGAATCAAATGTGTTGGAAGCGCTATTTTAATGATATCTGTGAGCAAAGCTAAACCGAGATCACGAGTCCATCCCATTGTATTGATAAAGAGCGGTCCTTTTGATTGGAGATCTTTTCTAAAGAAATGAATCAATTGACTGATACTTGACATATAAAGTCGGGCCGCTTTGCTCGGTGTGGTCGCCGCCACTGAGCATGACATCAATGGTTTATCATTGATAACATTCAAAACTGTTGAGCTAAGCATCGGTTCCTTAATTTTACTTAAACTTAACTGTCCCGCTGTACTAAATTCAGACTGTCCGGGATCAGTGTCCAAATATAGACATTCACTATAGTCATCGACATTGCGTTCAAATAAATACCTATTAATCATATGACGAATAAGACTCGATTTGCCAACATTTGTACCGCCGGTAACAACAATCATATCATTGTTTTTAAGTTTCAATTCATCAAAAAGTCTGTCCCAAACCAAATGACTGTTATAGTTATTGGCAGCAATTGATCTCATATTAAACCAATCTTTGATTAACTTTAGATTTGTCGGCTTAAAGTTTGGAAGAGTTTCCAAATATAATAATGAATTCATTGTTATCTTTTCTAACAAAATAAAACACGAATTTTCTTCTAATTGATTGATAATTGTCTCGACATCCGTAACCCCTAATGTCTGTAATTTATCTCTAATACTATCAATCGGTTGTCTCTGATTTTCATTTAGTCGATACCTAATAACAATTGTGTGATCAAAAATAGCGGACAAATCAACACATTTGTCCACTGATATAGAATAACCATTAATATGGAGATCATAGTTATGCGACAATAGAGTCAACCGAACTGATCCATAATTTAACTCAAGAACCTTATCTTCATCGGTGACCACAAGTAAAACTGATTTGTCGTTCACATCAATCACTTTAAAACTGTTTTCTGGCGCTTCATTGGTTACTGATTTACCACTCAAGATGTCATCATTGAGTTCATTGACTTTCAATTGTTTCATCCGTTGAGTATTTGTGTCCATATTTTCATCGGTAAAACCATTCATTGTGTGATAATTTCGGCAATAATTTATCGATGGTTTGTAACGCAAATGTCGATAATTTTGTGTTGCTTTCAATGCAAACCAAAGCGATGAATACTTGTGGCCATTGATTGCAGCGGTTGTCTTGAGCTTTGGCCTCACGCGTGGCATCGAAACCGTGTGGTCAGTGATCGGGACTAACAAACCGTTGAATAAATGTTTGCAAAATATTACTATAATTTCAATACATTTTATCTCACGTTTTGTTTTCATTATAACTCCGCCCWTTTGACTACTATATCATATTGTTGTAAAAATGGCACAAATTGACGGTTTGAATAAATCAATTATAATTACATAAGTATTATTAAAGCATTTTTGGACCTTTTTATACATTCCAAATAATTATCATATGTTAGAAATTTATTGTGAAATCCAATAAATTGGCGCAAAATTTAACAATATTTTATTATATTGTAATTACAGTAAATTGTAATTACTATTCAATGGTTTTAAATTAATTACTTTTACTATTATTTTTAATGATAAAACAATTTTTTAATTTCTATCTTTAATGCTATAGTTTTATTTTCAATGTTATTAAATCACAACTATTTTCACAATACAATACTCAACGAGTTTTGAAAAATAAAGTTATTTACGGATTATACTAAATACTGATAAATTAAACAATTTCTAAATTTAATACTTATATGAAATTAAAAATAGTCGACAAATATCTTAATATTAAAAAAAAATTAGATGTAATTTATAGGAAAATATTAATAAAATATCATTTAATTAATCGGTCAAACATGTGGTCATTGTGTTGTTTTATTTACTCGATGTATACTTCGTGACCGCTTTAGTGCCTTCACTGACCGCGTGTTTAGCCAACTCTCCCGGCAATAGAAGTCGAACAGCTGTCTGAACCTCTCGGGAAGTAATAGTCGACCGCTTGTTATAGTGAGCCAAACGCGACGCTTCAGCGGCAATGCGCTCGAAGATGTCGTTAACGAAAGAGTTCATTATAGACATGGCTTTCGATGAGATGCCAGTGTCCGGGTGTACCTGTTTTAGCACCTGTAGGTCAATGATAGTCAAAAGATAATTAATATGGCAATCAGTTAGTCAGTCAAGAAAAATGTTTCACTTTATAGATGTAAATACTGAACGACTCCTTCCTTTTCTTCCTGTGTTTTCCCTTCTTGTCTGAAGCGCGGACAGCCTTCTGTGCTTTACCGGCCTTCTTGACAGCCTTACCACTGGGAACGGGAGGCATTGCTGGTCACCAAATAAGCCGATCAATAGTCTATACAACTAATCAATTGAAATCAATACAAAAACTACTATTAATAATAATAATACTGTAATTGAATCGCAAAAACAAGTGTTGAGTTAAATGCAAAAACCAATTGATTAGTCAATAAAGTGATAGTTATATAGTTTTCCACACTTTTTATGCGCAAACAGTAATAGTATTTAATTTATTCATTCAATACTGACTGTATGTATGTTCAGTAAATACGTGTCGACACTAATAGTTGTGAATCAAAAATTGATATTTAATTTCAATGATTAAATTAATTAATTTTTCAAAAAATATTAGATAAAACAATCAATATTTAAACATTTTTGATAATTTAATTAACTGTGATCTATATAATTATAGCTATTTTAGTTAAACAACGTTTCAATAACTTTTGGAAATAAATGTTTTATTTGAATCATTTATTCGATAGTAAGGTATGAATGAAATAAAAAGATTATTTATTAAGTTAACAAAAGTTTATTTAAAAGATTAAAAAATAATATCGAAAATAACAAAATATTATTATTATGTCTTATGATTTGTCTAATTACTAACCAAACTTGAAATCATTTAAAAAATTTTAAATAAAATAATTAATTAATTCATGAATTGTTGTCTTTGTCTTTATCAGTATTTTTTAGATCAAATATTTCCATCAATAGACTACTGATTCCGGTTTCTTCAATTTGATTAGTATTGACATCAAAGTATGCCTTGACATGTACTTCACTGGTTGTCTTTGTAAGCTTTATTTGATCCATTAGTCTATAGAAAATGGTTTCAGCTGTTGAACCATCATATATGGTCTGTAGATATCTTTTTAAAAGATTTATATAACTCTGTTGTTCGCTCCTATCGTATCCATAGTTTGCAAACAATTAATAATAGATTTATAATTAATTTTTAAAGATATAAATACCGAATAAAGTGAACATTTGTGAGGTTTGGTCTGTCCGGCGAAAAGATGGAGATTGCGATCAAACAGGACATGACATTATCATCAAACCTCCACTCGGGTTCAAAACTTAAGGCATACTTACGGTGCGCTTCGTATACCTTCTGATTAACTTGTTTTAGGACTTCCATTTTCAGCGAGAACTTACAGTTTCTTTCTAAATCCTAATTAAATAAATCAATTATATATTATCTTATATCTCATTGCTTACCATTGACTCCCAGCACTCTTTTTCAAGATTGATGGACATAATGGACCTGAGTATGAGTGTCTCCATACAGGCGCCCTTAACCACAGCAATTTGGTCGGATTGACTTAATTGTTGAAAAGCCAATAACTTTTTGCACATTTTAATTAACATAAATGTTATAATTTCGGTAATTTTAAGGACATCAATGAACCGACCACTACATGGAAGCTCATGGATGGTCTCGGCCTGCATTAGTTGTACATTTGATGTCAAGTGTTTAAGTTTGTATTTCTCGGTTGGCGTCAGTTTTTCTCTGTTATTCTCGGATGCCCTGCAAAGGAGGGCATATTTCGTCGGATAGTAATTACTTTCTCTCATTATCTTGACTTTACTCAAGAGTTTTCTAATGGATTCGACATCACTGGTTGTTGTCTTTAAGCTGTGTTCATCATTGAATTTGTTTTGCAATTGATTTGGCTTTTTATTTGATAACTTACTTATTATGACCGACTCTTTCTGAACCATTCTCGACAAAAAATAAGGTTTTTCTTCAATTCCAAACATTTCTGAACAAACAGTTGATCCAATTGGTAAGTCTGGACTTTTTAGACCTTCTGTAGGTTTAGATGGAGAAGACGGAGATAAATGATGATCAGTGGAAATGTTGTAAATCATTGGTTGTTGCATTTGGTTGTCTTCTTTATATTCATCTACTATATCATTATCATCTATAAGTTGGTCCAATTGTTTTGGTACTTCAAACAATGAATCCCTTTTTCGTGAAACTTTTGAGCGTTTCTTCTCAATAATCTTTTCTTTTCTGGCGTGTCTTTGCTCTTCACTCATAATATACTCTTTTTTCATACCAGCGCTCAAACATTTTCTCAGACGACATGAGGCACAGAATCTTCGAGAAACTACATCAATGGTGCAGTTGTTTTGAAAGTAACATTTGAGACCCTTTTATCAGATAAATTATAAAATAAATATCTATACAACAAATGGTAAACCATTGCACCAAAAACAAGACATACCTTTTGTTTGAATGCGTTGCGTCTGAAGAATTCCTTACACGAGGCACAGGTGATGGCATCAAAATTACATCCCCGGGCTTTATCACCGCATACCTCACAATAACTTTTTGTATCAATCCTTAACTGCATTTCATTTGCTAAGTCCATTGTTTAGCATTCATTAATCATTTAATTATTAGATTAATTAAATTATACTATTTGTTAAATTTTATAATTTTAAATATTCATAAATAATTTTATTCAATTCCTACAGTCATATAGACTATGCGTAAGACATATGCTTGATTCACATCGTAATTCAATAATAAATGTATTTATTGGTTGTTTTACTGTATATTATAATTACTTAGTATTTGTAATAATAAAAATTGTAATCAATCTTAAACACCATTTAATAATACATATATATAATAAAATTAAATATCTATATATTGTAGCACTCGACTAAACTAACCGTCCATTTATCAGTTTAGCTATGTTGTTTGCCTAACTTGAATTGAAAAGATAATAACAATACTATTGAATATTTTTATCAAATGTCATAATATATTATATTAATTGTGTGTTTATCTTATCAATGTTTAATTTTTTCTCAATACATGCAGTCATTGAATGTTGCCATTTCTACTTTGCACTAACATTTAGAAAGTCGAATATTATATAATAATAATAATTATTATTATTAGATTAACTATTAAATAAAATTTTTATTAATGTAATATAAAAATCTTGATTGTTACCTTGAGTATTAAAAATTTGCAAATTAAAATTTTCTAATCTAATTAATTAATTTTTTAAATATCCATGTAATTTATTAAACGGTTACAACCATAATGACACATAAGAGTTTGAAACCTATTTTTAAATGAAAATATTTTTAGACAAAATATATTAAATGAATACTTAGACAATAACATAGATATTAAATGCTTGATACTAACAATAAAATTATGTAATTTAATACTCTAATTATTATTTATAGAAATGTTAGAATTTTTTCTTAACTTTTTAAAGTACTGTATTTACAATACAATTTAAAATTTATTTAATTATTTAAACACACTGTATATTAATTAGAATTTCGTATACAAAATTAAATGATGTAATCAATCAATAAATTTAGAATTATAAAATTTTAATAATTTTTTTATTACATACAGTGTTAAAAAAATAATACTAAAATATTTTAAAATATTGGTAAAAAGTGTATTATTTATACCGGTGGTCGCATCCAAAATATCAAAATTTATAATCTCCAAACTTATAATATTCATTTCAAAATATCCAAAATTAAAATCTCTAAAATAATAATATTCAAACTTCTAATATCCAAAAACATTTGACCCAACATTTGATCTAACTTATATAATCTAAATAAAAATATCCAAAATTAATTAATATAAATCAAAATAATTTATATTATTTTTTTACTATCTATAACAATAATTTTAGTAATGTAGTAATAATATTTATTAAGTAATATAATTAGTAAGTATAAATAATTTTGGATATTTTGAACTGAATATTATAAGTTTGGAGATTATAAATTTGGATATTTTAATTTTGGATATTTTGGATGCGACCCATTTATACAATGTTTATTTATTAATAATCTTATTTAAGAATATAATATAAATAAAATCATATTTGCATAATAATTTATAAATATCTTCTAATATATCTATAATAATTAGAAGTATATACTGTACATTACTCAATAATCTATATTAAAATATAATTTTTAAATTTATAATTTAGTAAATTTTAATGAATAACTTATTATATTACACATAAATTTTTAAATTAGTTGGCAAAATATAATGTCGTATATCAGTATCAGTTCCGGCAATATCTATATAGATTTGATTCAATGGTCTTTCAATAGCTGATGCAATGACTGAATCTATTGTTTTATTAGTAATTAAAGTATATTCAAGATTAATGTTAACCAATTGTCGACACATTTTGCAAACTGTAGCAAAAGTATCACCAACACTGGTTCCGTTAAGATTAATATACTTTAAGTATTTGAGTTGACTAATTGAAATAACACATTCATCTGTTATATTTGGATTGACAGTTGTGCTCAAAGACAAAGTAGACAATTGTGTCCAATATTTGTTTATATGAACTAATGATCTATCGGTTAAAAAAGCGTTGAATAATTCAAATTTAGTCATTTGTGAACAGCCCTGCATTAGTCTATAGACGACATCATCTAAGTATAAGACCAATGATTTGGATGACAAATCCAAAAACAATTCTCGAAGTTGTCTCAGTTGACTAACGAGTGCAATATCTTCGAGATCGTCGTCTGAAAATACTGACACTTTAGAGCAACGAAGAACTTCAAGTTTAGGTAATCCCTGAGCTATGATTTGAAACCACCAGCCATCCCAAGTACCACCACTTAAGTCTAGTTTAGTTAGATTGGGACCACCTTTACTGGCACTTAACGCTAACAATCCATTATTATCCATAATCTTAACAGTTGTGCAAATTTCTCTAATTTCAGAGCACAGGTATGAATAGCAATCTCCAGTTATACGATGATAATGTCCAGTTCGTCCCCATTCGGTCCAAGAGGGAGGGTATATAAGATCTGAATATATCTGAAAGTGTTGTAAACTTTGACAATTTTCAAACAATGTTCGTAAACTTTCCTCAGCGATGGCCAGATTTGAAGACACGACACGAATGTTACGTAAATTTGGATACTTTTCGCTCAGTCTTTTCATATCACACACTGTTATTGATATCTTTCTAAAACCAATTGTATCGATGGCCTCAAGATTGTAGTGACAGTTATCGCAAATTAATCTAAAAGGACTCTCAAGTCTTAAATAGTCTACTAAACCAACTTTCTTAAGATTTTTGCACTTTTTGATGGCGCCATTCATAATATTTTCTGCCGCGTCGTCCCATTCAGACATTTCATTGTCTCCTAAGACCATCAGGTAATCAAATGTAATAAGTCTTGACATTTGTATTATATTTCTTGCGTCGACATTAAGGTCAGACTTTGGACAACAGAGTTCAACGTCGAAGTCGTTTTTATCAGAAAAGTAAAGATAGTTTTGATGTAAAAGTATATAATCTATTAAAGTCTTCCAACGTTTGCAAACTCTTTCAACTCTAACCTTCTCAACGAAGTCCAAGAATGACAATATTATTAATAAGACGTCGTCATCCAAATCACTAATTGTCAAACAATTATTGTCATCACTTTCTTCACACATTTGATTCATCATATATTATATAATCTTTTCATTTTACTTTCATTTAATATTTATAGTATTATTTTTATAAAGTATATACAGTTATAATGTTTTACCGAAACTGTATATTTTATAACAACATTTTTCTTAATTATTTTTAATATCTAATGAATTTATATTTACACAATTTTTTCTCTGTAAATATTATCTTATTTAAAGTTTATACTCAATATATACAATATTATAGTAAATGATATTAAATGTGATGAGATTTATAGTATAAGAAAATAAATGTTTATATAATATAAAACATTTTCATTTTATAAGACAATTTAGAACTAAGTGATACTATAAATGGTTTCTTAAGATAATACAGTCAACAAATAGTTTATACTGTATGTGTGTGTAAGTGTTAAAAATAGTTTAAAAGTTATAGCACTGTCAATATGGGAACGGGAGCTAATAATAGTCGGCTATTTTTGCATCTCTTATATATATTATATTTTGTTTAATGTTTTGCTAATCAAATTTTTCATTGTTTGTCATTAAATAATAAAATAGTAAATATTTATTCTAGAAAATTAGTTTTTAATTATTGAATATTATATTAATTATTTAATTGATAAATTTAAAGTTATTTATACTTTAATGATTTAATAACGTTTATGCAAACTGGCCTAGATATCTTTTTTTATTTTACAAATTATTAGACTAATGTAATTATTCATATTAATCAATGATTAATAATTAAAACATAAATATAATGAACTCATCCAGATCATTTTAATATAATATTGCATGTAATATAGTCATTAATTTTATAATAATAAAATAATATTTACTCATTTTGAAATTATACATTTAATATAATTGTATTTTACTAATGATATTTATAATAGTACTGTATATTGAATATGATGTGTGTAACCAAATAAAAGTAATCGATAACATACAGTACAATCAATATTACAACTAATTTTTATTTAGCTTTACATTTCAGAAATTATTAGTAAAAATTTGATAAATATTGAGAAACAATGAGTAATATAAAGTTAAATACAAATGAAATTAATAAAAATGAATTGATTGATGAATTTGATGAGTGTATGGATCAAGTGATTGATGATAATTATGTGACACAATTAGAGAAGGGTTTAATACAAATGACTATTATTTCTGAACCATTCAAAAGATATTTAATTCAAAACAAATTGAGAACTAATGGCTCAAACTTTTATTTGAATTATATTTTAACAATTTATTTGTTTGCTAATACTATTCGTCTTATTTGGTGTCTATCATTACCCGATAGTCACGATTTTTTAGTACATTTGGGTGACTTTACTCAATGGTTTGGTGGAAAAAGGATATATTTTTTAATACCATTTATTTTAATCAATTTAAATGCTTCCTATCAGTCACTTATCTATTTGATCTCCAATGAGAAAGATTTTATTTGGATGAAAATATTTGCATCACTTACAGGTAAGTCATATCTCATACAATAATAATTATTTTTACAGTAATGAATGGCCTGTAATATGAAAGGTTTGATACCGCCGTCACAAATGGGTATTTGGAAGCAACGGATGTTCATTGATCTCTATAGTGGTGTCAAAACTATATCAAAAATTACTAAAATGATAACATTTTGTGTATATTTTACATGCATTACAATAATAATAAGTGTTTATTACTATAACTGCAAGCATTCATTTCTGACAACTTATGGTTTCTTTTGGGTCGTCAATCATATCATTTGGATTTTCTATATAATCGGCATTCCGTGTATTAATTCATACTATTTTCAGATACTATGCTATTATCTTGTCATACGTCTAGAAGAAGTAAATAATTTATTGTTGAAAGTGGCGACTCGGGTGTCATTTAAAAAGAAGAAATGGAGATCAGATCAGATGACAGACACTGTGTTTGCAGAACACGACAGCATTTGTTTAGCAATTAGTGATTTCAATAGATTTTGGCAAAAATTTATATTTTCAACGCTCAGCACTTGTATACCACTTGTTATTTATCTGTCCTTTCAATTGATCTTTACTCAGATGAACTTATTTGCACTCTTTATATGTTTTATTGTATTGTTGTACTTGTTTTACACATTATATATCGTGAGCGCATCGGCCGCTCTAATCCCGGCCACCGTTCAGAAGCCTTATAACAAATTGAATTCAATTAACCTATTCTTGCTATCAGTTCCCAGACGTCTTCAAATGCAAACCATTGTCGACAAAATTAGTCTAACAATCATTGGTTTTACATATTTAAACATTTTCTATATTAAACGCAAAAATTTAATTGACGTAAGTTTTAAATCAATAATAATAATTTACAATATTTTTTAAAAAAGTATATAAAATTTTATATAAATTAGATGACAATCATATTTATCGGATATTTTATAATCCTTTGTGGTTTATCGCAATCAAATATAATATGATATTAATGTCCATCTAATAGTGTATATACTGTATAATGCCTTTGTATGTCATTGTTGTTTTAATTATATGTTAATTAACTCAYATATTATTTAATTATCAAATATTGAATAATTTTTTAAAAATATTTGCAATCTCTATAATTTTATTTTTTGCTTAATTTGTATTACAAACTATTGATTAGTTGTATTAAAAWCTCATCATGTTTTACTATTATATCACATTTTAGTATTATATTAAGATATCAGATTCATTAATTTATTATGGTTAGATAACTAGCCATGGGCAAATAGAAACTTTCTAATAAATATCCCTGTGAAAGTTTCTAGAAAATTTCTCAGGAATAAATTTATATAGAAATTGAAATTTATTGTTATACTATGGGATCGCGATTTCTATGGTTATTATAATACTGTACTATCAATATATTAATGAGTTATAATACTAGACATACAGTATAGTAAACTATTATACAAAATTGGATACCTATATATACAGTAAAATAATTATAATTATTTAATAATAATCAGTTTAGTAAAATGTTATTCAACATTTTATTATATATATCATAGTTTAATATAATTATATTAATTAATTTTTTACTTTAATTAATAATAATATTTAATCATTACTTGTAAAAACAATGTATTGTTACAAAATAACAAATATCGAGAGGACAAAATTAACATTGGGATCCCATAAATAGAAATTTATTTTAGAAACTTTCTAGAAATTCTAGAAATTATTTTATGAATTTCTTTTTTTTTTGTCAACACTAATTAAAAACTTGATTATTTTTTTTAAATACAGTTATTATTTTAGATTAAATTTATAAGATCTATAAATTTGTTTTCTATTTGTAAACTACAATATGTAATAATATGCCGTATGATATACCATATTATATTTTATTTAATTATAATTACGATCCGTATAGCTATGAATATGATTGTAGTGTCAATAATTGATGGACTGGTATATCATAATTTCAATTGAAACCATTGATTCTCAAAATTTTATGTTTAACAATTATAAACTACTGTATTGTAAATATATTTTATGCTAACAGTATTTTTTAAATTAAAAATAATGTTTGCTGATAATTATGTAAAATATTTAAAAATTAATTAAAATATTTAATTGATGTACTTTTTTGATGTTGTAATTATTAAAAATATTGATTAATATATTACTAATATCTCTTTTTATCAAATTATTAATTAAACATTTTGTTATAATACTTTGTACAGATCTCACTATAAACTTGTTATAAAAATATTTAAATTGTGTTAATTGCCTTTTATTATTATAAATGATTTGTATTAAGTATTAATAATTATTCATTTACTTATTGTTCAATATATGCTCAATAATTGCATTTGATTTTCTAGAAATTAATTGTCTCTTTTCCAGACCACCGGAAATTTTTGTGATTCATTAACACTTTGACCCACCAATAGATCAATTCCCGTTAGTGGCGGTGATGTTATCCAGGGTCGGGTAGCAAATGTTGAATCATCACCTTTGGTTGAGTTTTTATACAGTATTATTAGTTATACTATAATTTTATTTGAATCCTACCTAACCATCTGGTGCTCAAAACCCTTCTGGAAGTGGATTTTAACACTCCCGGCGCCGCGTGAAGTGTTCTCATATGAAACACAATGCAATCTCCCGGTGCGACACTGAATCTTAATATTTTGTATTTATTTTTAATATACTCATTATCGGGAACGTCCACATATTGATTGGTATCAATGAAACCATTTGTCTCATTATCGCAAACATAATTCAAATGAGTGGCAAATTTCCTCGGTCTGTACCATTTGCTATCCAAATGAGAACCGGCAGCAAACTTAACTGAATTTTCAATGGGAACGGTATCTAATGGCATCCAAATCGAACAATTCTAGAAACAAAAAAAAATAATAATAAATAATTTAATTGAAAATTTAATAATTGTATTTAAATATACTTTAAATCCATTAATTGGATAATAAGCCTGGTCGTGATGCCAAGGTGTCAACTTTGAGGTTCCGGCCTCTTTGATGAGTACGTGCTCGTGATAGAAGATACTGATGGGTGACTCCATGACAATTCCGGCGATAGCAGCGGCCGGTGACTGATAGACAAACTCTTGAAACTCGGGAATTGATTTCCAGTTGCAATAATCATTGAAGAAACCGCCCGTTTCGCCATTGTTTAGGAGGCGCTCACTATAAGCACTTGGATTCTGTAGATTTCTGTCAATTCCTTTGATCACTTGTTGGATCCAACGGTCGCTAAARACTCCACGCAAACAAACGACACCATCTTTTCGATAATCGTTTAATATGTCTTCTGTTATAAATTTGCTCATAATTGTGATTATGTAATATATTTTTACACATAAAAATTAGTTTTATTTCAAACTTTAAGTAAAATATAAAACTTTTTAATATATATATAAATAAGTTATATAATAAATTTAATATTTAGTTTGTTTGTGTGTAACCAATAAAACAGGTTTTTACACAAATTTAAATAACTTGAAACTCAGCTTAAATGCCACAAATATATTCAAATTTTTTTTATAGCATTTCAAGTGATATTACTTTATGAGAGAAAAATAAATGAATAGTTTTAGCTGTTTTACGTGAAATTTATAAATAGTAATTTAATTTATAGTATAAATTTTTATACTAAATTTAAAACATAGTCGATAAGTGTTATTTAATAAACAAAATAACTGAATTGACATGTCATCAATGTTTTATAATACGATAAAAATGAACATATTTTTTATATCATCATTATATTAAATATTTTTTTTTGTAAATTTACTACAAAATCACTGCATATTAGCTGATTTTATTTAAACATAAAAATTTTTATTTCAAACAATTTTGTCTAAACATAACACCTGATAATAATACTGTTAGGCATAAAGTTAGTTATGTTTTTGATTTGATTATTTTTTTATCAATATTTATATGTTTAAAGTGTGACTATTCAAATATTGTTCAAATTTAATAATTTAATTGCTCAATTTAATTCAATTTATATGACCTTGAAAATTATATTTAAAATTATCATGTTAATAAATGGTTTATTATTAAAATATATTTGAATATTAAACTAAATTATAATTTTACTTTTTAAAAATACAATTTAAAATACTTCAAAACAATTTGATAAAAATATCCTGGTATAAAAATTATTATTTTAATTACTGTATATTTGATCATGATGAATTTTTGATAAATAATCAATAATGATAATCAATAATTTAATCTAAATATTAATTCATTAGTAATATGATGATAATTATTGTAATAAAATTATTTATTTAAATTATTATATGTTTACTTAATTTTAACTTAATATTACTTTAATAATTATAAATAAATAAATATATATATATAATACAGTAAATGCTTTTATATTTATTTATTTGATTTATATTTAAGTATTAAAATAATTGAAAATTTTTATAAATTATATCAAAATTGTCGTAATTTTTGCGATAAAAAATAGTAAACTTTTTTTTGATATGATTTTGTAAACTAAACGTTGTTTGTATGCAAACAGTGATGTCATTGTGGACACAATCGGCGGCCAATTGGTCATCACTTCCCGAAACTCTATGGCTGTCTATATTTTCCAGATGTCACTCAATAGATCTGTTGGTCATCAAAGACGTGTGTCATCAGTGGCGTCGAATTGCCGGCGATTTGTTCCTCACGTCTTGTCTTGATTTGCGGTCAAAAGCCGTGGATGTCGTGAAGTTGAAAGAGTTGTTGGACTTTGTGACCGACAATCTGGTGGTACTGAAGATTAATAACATTTTGACGACAAAAAAATGTATGGATTTTAATGAACTGATTGATTCATTTGCTGACCTATCGATCGGACGGTCCGACACTTTAATGATTGAAGTGATGGATACTTTGCGTCAAAAGTGTTCACAATTAAGACGATTATCTCTTGAAGGCATCACTAACTACGTCCCATACGATAGTCTTCCCAACGGTTTAACTCATTTATCACTAATCTATTGTCGAAGTGATTGTCTTATAATATTTGACTCAAATGTTGACCACTTATTGACCAAATTTGCGTCAATTGTTTACTTAAATATAAGTCATTTTAATGTCTTTGATTCCCAAATGTGTCACTCAATCAATAGCTTTGTTTCACTTAAATATCTATATATGGAGTCTTTGTTTCGTATCAATGACGGCGGTCTGTCAAACATTACACCCAAACTGATCAGTCAAATGGTTGTCATTGATTTGGAGGGAACCGATGTAACAGACGAGTCATTGCAATATATCTTAAATAACGGCCAATCTCTTGAAGATCTATATTTAGGTCAAACCCTTATTAAAGCTAATATTGATTTCAGAAAATCAGAGGCAAAACATCTCAAAAAGTTGTGTCTTCTTAAGACTAATGTCTCGACTAAGTCTGTACTTAATATTCTTCGATATCATTCAACTCTTTGTTCAGTAAGATGTGATGAGACTATTAAAATGACAATTGATTCTCCGATTATGACATCTAATGTCCAGATAAGCGGTAATGAGACGACATGTCTTCACTATATTGAAGACAATCGATTTGATCTTAAAATTAAAAACTTGTTTAAGAAATGATAATAATTTGAAATTTATTAAAAGCATAGATTTGTACATCTGATACAATAAAACGTGAGGTAATTCCTTAAGGACAGTCATACGGTATGTATACTGTAGTTCCCTAAGGGCTGTCATAACTGTCTTTAATATTCCGGTGATATTATTACAACATATGTTAGGTATTTGTAAAGTTAAGATATCTTTATGTAAAATCTTAAAAATATTTATGGTTTAAATTTTTATTTATAAAATATAATAATAATTAAGCACTTTGTATAAACTGTTTTTTATATATAAGTTAAATTATATATATATATATATATATATCATATTTAGATATCTGTATTATATAGTATATAATTTTTGTTGTTAAGCAATTAATATGTAATAAAATATTTATATTAATTGAATTATTTGGCTTAAAATCAAGGATTTATTTAATATATTTAATTTATATTGGATTGCATTTAAAGGATTGTGTAAACAATATGTGATCTGAATATTGTGATCAATGATTGTATGCATCACTCCATATGAATGTTAGTATTATTATTGACTTCAGTTCGGGATCTTTTGCGCAGAATAGTGGAGGTCGGAGAAGGAGGTCTCGAGGGCTCCATTTGTTTGTCATTAATGTATTTATGGATATATGGCTCAACTGTTTTCCATACCTTTTCATCGATCAACAAGTCTGCAGCGGCATCGATATCAGTGTACATAATGCGATCCCTATCCCAAGGTCTAGAAAAAACCAGAAATTTCAATCAATATTATGTCAATAGTATATATGATTAGTTCAACCGATTGAACACTCACTTGACAACAGTGCGAACCAATTGATAGATGGCTTCCAAAGGAGCTGTTGTTTTCAATGGTCTGAGAAACTCAATGGCCTGACACGCGGCCAACAATTCAATAGATATAATTCGCTCCACGTTTTCAATTACTCTCAACACTTTACGGGCGGAAAAACCTCCCATCGAAACGTGATCTTCAGTACCGGCAGATGTGGACAGAGAGTCAACTGACGCCGGATGGCATAAAACTTTGTTTTCAGAAACTATAATATGGGATCAAAATTATTGAAAACAATATAAAAACGTACGTCAAATGTATGTCTAACCCAATGCGGCTGCCGTACAGTGCGCTATCATGAATCCCGAATTGAGACCTCCGTTGTTGACCAGAAATGCCGGTAATCCGCTCTGCGCTGGATTTACTAGCCTTTCGACACGTCTTTCACTCATTGCTCCCAATTCATGGACACCAATAGCTAAGTAATCGAGCGCTTTGGCCGGATATTCGCCGTGAAAGTTACCGCCCGATATAATTTCAGACATTTCAGTGAAAACTAGTGGGTTATCTGTGGCTGAATTCATTTCAATGTTTATGATATTTTTAACAAACTCAATGGTATCGTGAGATATGCCGTGAACTTGAGGACAACATCTAATAGTATAGGCGTCTTGTACTCGGTTACAGAATCGGTGAGATTCTGCTATTTCTGACGGATATAGATCTGAGTTCAAAACAGCGCGTATCCTACGGGCTACTAAACTCTGGCCCTTATGTGGTCTTATTTTATGGATTTCCGGATCGAAAGCTCTTGTGGTTCCTTTAAGCACTTCCAGTGTCATTGCAGCCACAATGTCAGCCTGTCTTGCAATTGCTGACGCTTTTTCAACAGCATCGGCACCGAGTGATGTAATAAGTTGTGTCCCATTAATCAAAGCGAGCGCTTCTTTTGGCTTCAAATGAAGTGGTTTGAGATTATGTGATTCGAGTACATACTTGGCTTCACCCCAACCACTCTCTGGTGACCACATCTTTCCTTCTCCAATAAGACCGAGAGCTAAATGAGACTAATGGTATAAATTTATAATAAATTATTTATTTTATTTATGTATTTTTAAATTTTATTACAAGTGGTGCCAAATCACCCGATGCACCGACTGTGCCCTTCTCGGGAACCCATGAAAGACAGGAGCAGTTGAAAGCATCAATTAATTGAAGTAAAGTTTCCAAAGAAATGCCAGAATATCCTTTGGCTAATACATTAATTCTTAGAGCTAATAACATACGAGTCCTTCGGGGTGATAACGGTTCCCCTACACCTGCGGAGTGACTTCGGATCAAATTAAGTTGAAGTTCTTCGAGATCTTCTTTGCTTATGACAGTTGTGGCAAACTTTCCAAATCCAGTGTTAACTCCGTAGACAACTCTATTCTCATCCAAAATCTCTTCCAATAATATTCTTCCTTTGCTTACCTTTTCTTCTGCATCTTTAGTTAACTATATTTATTTCAATATTTAAATATATGTTTTCGTTTAATTAATTATTTTATAAAATATTACCCTTATTTTGAAGAGTCCGTTACCCAATCTTATTAAGTCATCGGCTCCTAAATTATTACCATCCAATGATGTAAACTATTTTTAAAAGTAAATTGAAATATAATATAATAAATATAAATTATATTATTAACAAATTAATATAAATTTGCTATAATTACCTGTTCTGGAGGTTTGTAATTTGTAGGAACCTGTTCTGGTATGTAATGTATTTCTACCGGACCAGTCACTGGATTAGCCTTATCGCTGTGCAGTACTGTTTGTAAACAATTGTATGAGATTTTATTATATAGATATATATATATATATATAAAATAAAATGATTTGTGACATTACCAACAGAAACAAAATCATTATCGTCTAAAACATTGACAATAAGATCGTCTGGATCTAAGATGGCACCTCCTTTAGTTTTGCGGATCTCATATACCGTTTCCAGCGGTGAAACATTAGGCACATGACAGGAAGGCTTGAGTTTAAGATATCGTTTGAGAGACTCTTCACTGAGCCATCGGACAGTCTGTTTGTCCGTTTGAATACAGGGAACAGCAAACCATTCGCCGCGAACTCTCACTGATATCTTCATTGTATTTGATTGACTAACAAAATAGTTTGTAGACTATATATAAACTTAAGTTTTATACCAACTTTTCCAACTTATTATGATTGGCTGTTTGTCAGTAAATGTGTATTTTTTGTCAATTTATTAAAAGTCATTTGTATGCCATTTCACGCGCGATGACTATATCTTTAAAAGAAACAAATTTTCATTTCATACAACTTTTAATTAATTCATTTTATGGCTTTTTTTAATTGATTTTTAATTCAGATAACAAATATGTGGTGAAATCCCTTAATATATTTATAATAAAATTCAAGTTATTTATTACTGTAATTGTTTTTTTCTTTTAATATTTAGTTTGCAATCATAACTTGTTGTTTATTTGAAGTTTATTTTAATTCAATTTTTTAACATATTTTTGCTCTTTAAAAAAATCTCGTGATTTTTGTTGTTATTATGGTTTGACATAAATTTTTTGGTCATTTACTTCATCAGAAATTTTGTTGATAAACTAATTTTACATTTTTAATTATAGATAATATACAGTAAATTCAACAACAAAATTATAGTAATATTAGTTATTATAAAATATAAACAAATTAGTTAACAAAATTTAATACGTTTTAATAGTTGAAAACACATACAATACAAAAMACATAAGACATGATAATAATATGTATATAAAACTAATGGTAAAATACAAATCATGTTTTTTTATTCATACGGATCGGCATAATTGGCCACAACTTTGGTTGATGTATATCACAGAGTCGGTCAAAATTCAATTGAATAGCCGTTTCCATGCCTTGAATCATATTATAGTCTTCACCATAGAGTTCATGCATTTTCTCTCGTTTCAAGTCGTGATCACTTTTCACTCTACAGTCTGTTCCCTCATTTGTGTCCATTTTATTACCGGATTTCACATTTTTATTGGACTTTTTCGGGGCAATACTGCGGCGGGAAAATGACTCCAAACGACTAATATCTATATACTCTACTCTTTCGTTATATAACTGTCTCTTCTCTTTAAGTCTTTTTCTCTCCAATTGATGTCTTTTGGTTTGCAAAACAAACTCAAGATATTCATCCGTCACTTCCTGTTCGTTGTTATCGCTGTCGAGTCTGATCTCTGACTCCAACTCATACTCGCTTTCGTCAATCGTTTCCAAAGAATCCAATCTTTGATGCAATGAATTAACTGTAGTGTCGGTACAATCGCTGTAACTTTTGTTGTCAAATGTATTGTCAATCACATGTTGGGAACAGTTGTGACACTCGTTCTTCATGAGGTCGTCATCAAATTGGACCGATTTGTGACCACTTTTTCGCAACCATTGTTGACATTCATTGTAATGCAACCAAAATGAGCTGAATATTGGCTGCAAATACCACCTGTGATGGCATACAGTCTCTGATGCAGACATCACCTCAATTGGTCAACAATTATCATATGATATAAAACGTTAATTTAAAGTTCAGATTAAATCTTAAATTAAATACAAAAACATTTCTCCAAACGTTTCTATGGTTTTGTTGTTTATGTATACAATTTATTAAAATATTTTGTTGACACTAATCATATAAAAAGTATTGATTTAAACTATAAATGTTTGCAAACAACTGTTTATTGCAAACCAATGTTTACCACTTGTTTAGTGTGTGTTTGTATTCACTGTTTAGTCAAAACTTTGAATACAATTCGAGTCATTAAATGAATTGAAGACACAATACATGTCTTGTATGAAGACATTACTTATGCTATCATTTTGAATGACATTTGTCTACAAATCTTAAACAATCACACAATGGATCCACAAATGGTATGTTTATATATGTTTGCGTAAATCAGATGATAACAAATGTATTTGATTTGCAGACACAAACAGAATTGACAGCAGACGTGAACAATACTGAGTCGACAAGTGGTGACCCAAATGACAACAATGAAGACCAAAACAATGAAGAGTTGGACCAAAAACAACTGATTCACGCGTTTATCAATGAATGCGAAGAACGGCTAAAACTGAAACAAAGTCAAAGACATGAAAACAGTAAAGAAAACATCAAATATCCTGAAGAATCGTTTTTTGCACGATTGGACTCTTCCATCAAAAAGAATTCAACATTTGTCAAGAAGTTGAAGAATATGACGGACGCACAGAAAGAGTCCATTTTTAAGGACATGAATGGTCTTAATCTAAGTAAATATATCTCAGAAGTGGCCATTTCTATCGTTGAAGCGAAGATCAAACTCAACGAAATACCGATGGCTATAAAGATATGTTCGGCTCTCCATCAAAGATATCCCGATTTTTCTGGACAACTACTCGAGTCGTGGCTTAAAAATTTTCCGAAGAAAGCCGGCGATTCAATTAACGCATCAAAAATGCGAATAGATATTCGGTTGTTTGCTGAACTAATATCTTCGGGTATTTTTACACTCAAAGAAGGACTTCCAGTTTTAGGAAATCTGTTAACATTATTAACGACCACCGATAAAGAAAATCATCAAAATCTTAATATATTGTTAGCTTTTTGTCGTCATTGCGGCGATGATTACGCAGGATTTGTGCCGCGAAAGATGCGATTGTTGTCCGAAAAGTATTTGTTGTCAATACCTCAGAGTGTATTTCTTCAAACTGATCGCAAAAAAGGCGTTCAAAATCTTTTACGCGAATATTATCGATCGTTGTGTTCACATGTTGTCAATGATCACAAACAACTTCAGAATCAAGAGAAACAAATCAGAAAAACACTTCAAATGAAAGGTGAAATTCCTAAGGAAAGAAAAATGAAGTTTGAGACCAAACAACTTGATTGGCAAAAGTTGTGGTCATCTACTCAACAATACGCTGATATTGTTGACGAAGATTTACCCATTTTAGCACCGGATTTGTCAGAGTTTTCCGATGATAATGACGATACTAACGCCACAATGAATTTTGATGTTTCTAATAGATTCAAAGGACAGCCTGAGTTTGAAGAGGGAGCTCTTTGGGAGGATGAAGACACCCGAATATTTTATCAACACTTACCTGATTTGAAATCTATAATACCATCGATTTTATATAAAGATTGTGTAAAAGAGGCTGAAATTAAATCAGAACAAAATGAAAATAAAGACGAGAATAAAGATGAAGATAAAGACGAGAATAAAGATGAAGTTAAAGATGAAAATAAAGATGAGATAAAGACAGATAATGACGAAACAATTATTGAGTTAATCGATGATATTGTCGATATAGATGATGATATTACAGATCCTGCAGAACCTGTTGTCGACATTGAAGGCGATGAAAGCGACGACGACTCTACAAAAGGGGCGGCAATTAAAGTGTCAAATAAAGTACTTTTGGAACAGTTTTTCAATTCAATGCTTCATTGTGTTAACAGAGATGTTATCGATAAGGCGGCCATCGATTTCTGTACGAATCTTAATACTAAATCTAATCGCAAGAAATTGGTCCGATCGCTGTTTACTGTTCCGCGAACTCGACTCGATTTGTTGCCATTCTATTCACGTTTTGTGGCACAGATATCACCAATTATGCCAAATATTGCCACCGATTTAGTAGCACTTCTTAAACAAGATTTTAAATTTTTGTTCAGAAAGAAAGATCAAATAAACATCGAAAGTAAAGTCAAAAACGTTCGGTTTATCGGAGAATTAGTTAAATTTGAAATCTTTCCCAAATCTGAAGCACTTCATTGCTTTAAAGTTTGTTTTTTTTAATTTCAAAAAACATAATCAGTTGTTTAAATAACATAATTTTTTGCAGTTATTATTATCAGACTTCCGTCACCATCACATTGAGATGACCTGTAATTTATTGGAAACTTGTGGTCGATATCTGTATCGATCGACTGATTCACATTTGCGAACTAAACTTCTTTTGGATCAAATGATGCGTAAGAAAGCTCTCTTACCATTTGGTTCTCTATACGCAACAAACATTGAAAATGCTTATTATTTTGCTAATCCTCCCGAATCACAAGCCGTATGTATTTTTTATAATTTGTTTTTATAAATTAATAATATAATTTAAATTAATAATTAACGGTTTAATGGTTAGATTACTCGAATAGAAAGACCTCCAATACATCAATACATTAGAAAATTACTTTATCACGACTTATCCAAAGCAAATGTGGATAAAATATTGCGACAAATTCGTAAACTGAATTGGGATGACCCGGATATGGTTTCCTATACAATCAAATGTTTGATTGCCATATGGAATGTCAAGTTCTTCAACGTCCGATGTGTCGCCAAACTATTAGCCGGTCTCAACTCATTTCAGGAGTGGATCGCACCTCAACTAATTGATGGCGTACTCGAAGACATTAGGCTTGGAATGGAAATGAATTTACCGAAATACAATCAAAGAAGAATTTCAATGTCTAGATATTTGGGTGAACTCTATAACTATCGATTAATTGATTCTTCTATTGTCTTCAAAGTTTTATATTCCTTCACAACATTTGGTGTTATTTATGATCATTCAGTTTACAGTCCATTAGATCCGCCCGAAAATCTTATCCGAATAAGACTTATTTGTCAACTGTTGGAAACGTGTGGTCAATATTTCAGTTCTGGTTTGGCTAAGAAAAAACTCGACTGTTTTCTCTTCTTTTTTCAGGTTTATATAATTGAAGTTTTAATTAAATTTTTTGTTAAAAAAGTTAATTAATAATTATATTAATTTATAGAAATATTATTGGTTTAAGAGAACGTATGAATTTTATAATGAGGACAATCCGTTTCATTTCTCAATGATTTATTTATTCAAAGATGTAATACTTTTGTTGAGACCTAAGTTCAAGTTTGCCGACTCCTATGAGTCCGCCTCCACTCGTGTCGACGATTTGCTCAATGAATTGACTCCTAAAGTTCAGGAGATTTTACCAAATTATAAACTCGATAGACATGAGGGACATACAGATGATATCAGTGATGAACAAAACTCTGGTTTGACTACAATTAAGGAATTAGGAGAAAGTGATGAAATATATAGTTCTGATGATGAATACGCGCCAATTGGACAACAAATTGAGTTCAGACAACGGACAACAACTGATGATGAGGACAATAATGGCAGTGAAAGTGATGCTAACATTCTATCCGATACTGACTTACGAGATCCAAATGGTCCACAAAGTGGTCCAAAAGTTATTCACTGTCCTGAAGACGACGACTTTCTAAAAGATTTCGATAAAATGATGAGTGAATCGCTAGTCTCCAGAAGTCAAGAAATGGTCAGAAGTAACACTGATATTGTGATTCCGGTGAATAGAAATCAACCGAAAAAAGTTGCTTTTTCTGACAATTCAGGACTGAATGAGATCAAAGAAGAGACTCCAACCATAAACTTCATGATTATGACTAAAAGTAAAGGCAATAAACCGGTGCTTAAGAATGTAGACGTCCCGATAGATTCAGAATTTGTGGCAACTCTTAAGGCTAGAGAAGAGGAAGAAAAGGCTGAAAAGAAAAATATTAAAAAATTGATTTTAGATATTAATGAGAGACGAGAAATGGAGGACAGAGACGCTGAACTAGAAAAAGGAACGACAGCTTCGGGAACAACAAACGCCGGTTACCGACGCAAATATCAACACCAAAAGGGAGTTCCAGATGTGGACATCATATTTGGAAATAGATATCAGTAATTGATTTTTCAATGAATTTCGATATTTACTGTAATATTACTTTATTTTTAGAAAACGATGATAACATGGGATACACTTCGTTAGTGACAAATATATCAAATAATTAACTCATTATTGAGAAAACTATCGTTTATAATGATTTGATAAATACGGTAATTATTATATTTATATTTTTACATAAAAATAATAAAGTAATATAAAACTAAAATATTGTTAATTTAATTAGCAGTTGTATTTATTTTATTATATGAATGAACTAAAATGTTTATTTAAAAAATTAAATGTATATTAAGTTTACGATTAAAAACATTGATTTTTTGTCTAAATTAGAAAACTTTTATAATTATCACTACTTTATGTACTGTTTATCGGATATTACATATTATAATCATTTGGTAATCTATTTCATCATTCAATTGACACAAAGCGTACAAATTATAACAAATAATTGCAGACAACTAACTCTTGAAACGCAATGATATGTTTCAACAAAAATGTATTATTGAAAGGCATGTTATTATCAAATGATAGCATAGTTTATATGCGTTTTATGAAACAAATGTGTAAATGATTTCACAATTTAATACAATTTAATATTAAATTCAATTAATGTATTGTTTTTTGCGATCAATTAAATCATAATTTATTTACTAATTATTTATCACTTATTGTCAATAATATCAATCAAATGGTAAGTCGTGTCCACCGATTGTAAGCAAATATGTAATGAATATATTATTTGATGAAATATTAGGCCAAATATTTGGCCCAAATTGTCGTATTGGGAGCACAGGTGGTCGCGCGGGCCTTCACTCGGGCGCTCAGACAAGAATTTGCCGGTAATGATGACCAGTGGACACAACAATGATTTGTAATGCAATTAACTAATATTTAACTTTTTGTTTGTCACCAAAAAGCCAGTCAATCGGCKGCTAATCAGAGGCGCGCAAACAACGAATCCAACTCTGGATCGGTTAACACCAATTTCGGGATGAGTTTACAAGTGATGTCTTGACTCTAATTTTGATAATAGATTTGTTTGTCTAATGAGGAATATCTTTGAATTTTTTTTAGGAAGCGATGCAAATACTAAACGTCGAGGATATGAAACTTACGAAACCTAATGAAGAATCGATTCTTAAAAATTATAATCATTTGCTTGAAGTGAACGACAAATCCAAAGGCGGATCCTTTTATATACAGTCAAAGGTTGGTATTAATTGTCGTCTTATTTGTTAAAACTATTAACTTCTTTACAACTGTYGTGTTATGTATTGATATTTTTATTAAATTTAATTGAATGTATGGGTCTATAGTTTAGTAATTAATAACTAATACATAAATGCTTTTAATAAATGATTTCAAATAAAATGCAAATCAAAAAACTGAAAAATGCCTGTAATTAGAAATATCTGCAAAACTGGACTAAACTAATGGCCACAAAACCAATGTCAAGACTCTGTGGGAATACATATCATTTACTTTTACCAATTGTTAACATCAATCATGTGTCGCAAATGAAGTCAAATCCGACATTTATAATACAAACAAATTGTTTGCACACATCTGTGGATAACATTAGCGATGATGTATTTGAAGAAGCAATTAGTGAACAGAATATAATGAATTGTATCAAAACATTACAAGACATAAAAATAGTTCGCCCGAAGAAATCYTTTACCATTGGCCGCACTCGAGAGCCATCAAAAGCTGCTGTTTTGGTACCTTTTTGTCGTCTAAAGGACAACCAGCCAGCAGTTCTGCTAACTCAAAGATCAAATACTCTGACCAATCATAGGGGAGAAGTTTGCTTTCCGGGTGGTATTGAAGATCACATCGACAATAATGAAATGATTAGAACAGCTGTGAGAGAGACAGTAGAAGAACTCGGTATTGAAGAGAATTGTATCAAAGTCTTCGGTGCTTTGAATTCATTCCCTGCATTGAGTGGTGCTCTCGTGCATCCAGTTCTTGGATTTATCGATATATCTGACTATGATTTCACTTCACGCATAAACAAAGATGAAGTCGAGACTGTGTTTACTGTACCTCTAAAACGACTTATCGATCAACGAAATTGGAAGTCTACTCATTGGAAGGCCGGTTGGATTACACCTGTATTTACTGATACCGATAAAAACAATCCGCGAATATGGGGACTGACGGCTGGCATACTTTATACTGTTTTAGCAGCACTTTTGCCCAAAATTTTTATATTTGATACAAAGTTTTTACAACTTATACCAACAAAATAATGATCTGATATTTTAATAATTAGTTTTTTAATAACAGTTATTTAAGTTTTAGTCAAATAATATAAATAAATTAAAGTTTTAATTATTTTTTAAGTGTATATATATTTTATATGAATTTACAGGTCGTCAGAGCAAAGGAACGGATCGATGAAGAGATGAGATTAAATGAGTCGACAAATGAATCAAATAAAGCGAAAATGTCTCAACAAAATTGATGGACTGTTAGACAAAACATACTTTTATTAGATAACGTTTTATTAGCCAACACTATATTATTATTATTTGTAAATTGTTAAATATTTTATTTTTGTTTTTCTCTAATTATATAATAATTTTGTGCTTTTAGTTATGCCATTGAAATTGAATTTGAAATGAAAATTATAGTCATTTGTCATATACATAACAAATTTCATATACAGTATATATTTTATATTATACATGTATTACTAAGCAATCACTCATAAAGTAAATACTATTTTAGCAAATAATGTGAAAAAAAGTTATCAAAAAATTAATTGCCATTTATTTTAACTTAATATTAGTTGTGTTGTTGAACTATATTGTCTTAAATTCTTTTTACTATCTAATGACTAATCAATTGATAAGCTTTTTTGAATATCAATCGATTGCATTAATTTTCCGACAAATTAAATGTTTCTAAACTGTCTTTATTTTGCAGCAAATATTCAAACAAAGATCTTAATCGTCTAATCAATTGTTGACGCCTTTAGACTCCCACTAAAAAAACTTCTGTTTTACTAATTTAATGAATCACATGATTTGCCTTTTTGTTTAAAATCATTTAAAAATATAATACCTTTATATATGATATAATAATGACTAATATTAAGTGAAATAATAATTGAAGATATATTAGTATATAGAGAGTCAAAAATCTAACTTAATTACAAAAATTGAAGAGTTTTTAATCGTTTTGTCACTAAGTTATATAAGTGTATACTCAGTATAGAGTATATATTGTATACATAAGAGATCCCTTTCAGCTCATCGCCAGCGATCAGCTGAAGGATAACCAGTTTTGAAAGTTGATGTATAGTATTGGTCCGTATGTGTGGACCACCGGTGCATCGCTTMTCATACCAGTCGAGCAAAGAATTTTCGCATACGTGTTGTTGGGTTAGTATTGAGAAGCTGTTAGCTGTTAGGTATGTTGTAGTGTTGGCGCTTAAAAAGGCAAACAGCTAGTGGTCGGCCTTGTATGAGATCATTCACTTTGACATCGAAGCCAAGGACAGCCATAAACTGCGGACCAAATGTTTGCCACTGTATCACAACAACTATTATAAAAAAACTATTACAACATATCATAAGTACATACAGTTACACACATACATACATACGTATATATATATATTGTGTATATCACAAACTTTTACATATGATATACACTTATTTTGTCCATAAAATGAGTAATTTTCTCGATTGTATTATACGCTTATGTATTTTGTAAGAAAGGCCATACTATGGAACGGATCGTCACTTTCTTTGTGRTAATCCCTGAGCCATAACGAGACTGAATAGATAGTAAAGTATAGGATAGGATGGGCTTCGATAGCCATCAACCGAAAGGAGCTGAACTCCAGTGCTCTCAATTGCTTTTGTATCACTAAATGATTTTAATCGACATTTTTGTTACAATAATTTTAACCCAATTGTCTGACAAATCATTATAGTATACTATCTATAGCTTTATTGTAGTAAAGAGTGAATTGAGAGAGAAATATATAGCAAATTATTGACCAAAACATCATTAAATAGATTAATGAGTTTCTTACTAATGATTGTATGATTTTGTCATCAAATTTAACAAAAAAAAGTCAACTCATCTCTATATACAGTATAACATTAATTTACATTAATTTTTATTTGTGTTGCTTTTTCTTATAAATAATATTTTTGTGTTTTTTCTTTTCTCTTTAATGTTTAGTTAATAAATTATGATATATTCATATGAATTGCAAATCAAAAATCATTCAAAAATTGCATTTTATTTTTATGAATTATTTGTTATTTTTTAATGTTTTAAAAGCTCAAACATTTTTGATGAGATTTAAATATGTTTTGTTGTCTATATTACCTAAGTGTTGAAAATGGCATAATTGAACATTTGATCCAAAAGGGAGTCACCAATTAATTACTGAATAACTTTTAGATCGCCGATAAATTTGAAATTAGTTTTTTATTTTATATTCAGTATTTTTATTATTAGCTTATATTACATAAACTGTTTTATCAAAAATGTTATTATTTTGATTAATTTTTAGTTATAAAAATATAAAAAAATAATTGTTATCAAAATTTCCAATTTCTAAATAATAACAAAATATTATTAAAAAATATCAGTTAATATGAAACTATTTTGATTAAAAATATTTGTATGGCCTCTTAATTAAACTTGGGTTTAATATTTTATCAATTAAGTGGTGATAAAGAAAAACATCTCAAATAAAGTTAAATAATTTTTGCAATGATTATGTAAAATAATGATTGCAATTTGTATTACATAAGATGACATAGCATTAATTATATTATATATCTCTATTTTATTATATAATATATATATATATATTGTTTAATGAAAGCCGATTTTCAATTATTTTTTTAAATGATTCAATTAATTAAATAAGCATATAATATTATTTTCAATTTAAATGCCAATTCAATTGCGTTAATAAACATAAATCACTAAGTTTATTTAATTAAAAAATGTATAATTACAAATTCAATTTAATAAGTTTATAATTTTAAGTTGTAATATTTAATATTTTGTTAACATAAAGCTAATAATTTTAAGTAGAAATAATAGTTTCAAAAAATTATTTGTTTTAAAAGTAATTGTTTATTTCTTTTATATAAACAAATTTTATAACTGATTTAACAAGAAATTTACGCTAAAATAAAACATCATTTTTAAAAAGGCTTCAAATTTTTCTAAAACAACTTTAAATGCATTGATAATGAAATTAGTTTTYTATTGAGAAACTTATTTTTTTCTCTAATTTAAGATATTTTTAGGCTATATTTAAGTACATATGATATCCTAAGTGTAAAGTAAATGAATGGTAACTGATATGAGTTGTATATGTTTTTAAGTGAGAGACAAACCCTCGATGTCTAACAAGAGTTACCATTATATGATGATGTGATTTATGAGATTATAAATAGTCGTTTCATTTCGTGTCTATCTTTCTCTTTTTGATTAGATTTTGTGTTTTTTGCCACAACTTATACAACACTGCACTCAACTATCAGAATCACTCGCTTTTTTGGTTCTCATATATTGTCGTTAATTGCATTTAATCTTTAAATTGTAGTCCAAAATAAAGATCATTGATCCTAAAGAGATTGTTAAGTGATTTTCAGTGAGACTTCAACAGAGAGAGAGAGAGAGAGAGAGAGAGAGAGAGAGAGAGAGAGAGAGAGAGAGAGAGAGAGAGAGAGAGAGAGAGAGAGAGAGAGAGAGACTTCAAACACATAATAGCCTAAACCAAAGTCAAGGGAAAGTCTGTCACAACTATAGAAACTTATATTTTTTATTGAATCTCAAACTCAATCTTCTTAAAGCATTGTTTTATAAACTCTTTATATTGTTGTCGTATTAGTGATAAAAACGGAAAGAAAGAAACKAAAATATATATTAGATATATAATGGTTTAAGAAATGAATGAAACAAAATTGTTATTTAAAATAATAGACTATTTGTTTTGTTTGATAAAGCAAACAATAACCAAAAAATATATATATTTAAAATAAAAATAAAATTTATTTTATATTAATTAATTTTATATTATATGATTAGATAGCATATGAAACCCCATATTAATGGTGTGACATCGTAAACGCTAGTTATGATATATATCATATAATATGGGTATTACTGTATGACAGCAATATTATTGTCGCTTAAAATATGATATTATAATACTGTATAAGAGGTTATTATATGATATATTATCTCTTGCTTTTTATTCTTTATTTTTATCTTAGTTTTTGAAGATTACAATCAAATAAATTTTCAGTTAATTTCAAATTTAAGACAAAACCACAGATTAAAYGAATTGTAAATTATAAATATATTAATAACAWTTAACAATAACTACTCTATTATTACAAATAAAAAACTTTAGTTATAATTTAATTTTTTAAAATCAATTTTTTGTTGATATTTTGTTGGTTGACATTAATATTATGAAAAATATCACTCACAGCACAACACAAATCAATCAATAGACACAAGACATCAATTGAATAGTCATCCAAATCTTTATATTGTGTGTGTGTTTCTGACTTTGTTTGGCCTCTCATTTAATGACAAAATTTTTGCTTAGTTTCTAATAACAGAAATCATATCAGTATTACTTGTGACCACTTTGTGTGTCTCTCTAATAGTCTAATGTTATGTTGACTTCACATTCATTATCATCATCTGTTGACATCCGTGTCTCAGCTTTTGTTTAATTGGTGCTTATATTCCTTCATCAATACAATTGAATATYTGTTATTTGCCGACAATTTATTGTTTTCAATAATAATGTTAAGAATTATATAAACGTTGGATACTATCGTTAGTTAACAATCAATTATTAGCAAAATTGCAATTATCTWAACATAACATTCGCTATATTTCTTAATCAAATCCAAACTCGAATATTGTTCACAAGTTTCCAACAATTGACAGATAAGTCCTATTTTGAGATAAGATTTTCTGACAAATCTAAGAATAGATCGATTAGTTATTTGATTATTAAAAAATTGTAATAATTTCTATGATTCTAATATTTAGTCTAAAGTTTATGGATCTATAAATCAAATTACATTACATTACTGCATAATAAACTAATACACGAAACATTTTTTTAGTACAGTATATATAGTTTAATCGCAATATGTATTTAAAGTTTTATGTTTCCGAAATATTGGGGGGAATTTATTCGTTGTTAGTCTATCCCATTTTTTAATCATATGTTTGGTTGTATATT